TACTGGACAGATCGCTTGAATAGCCAAGATTCTGTAGGACGGTCACTGTGTTATGAACGATGGCGTAGAACTTTTCCATGGCTGGAAGATCCGTGAGAGCTGGTGGGTTGGAAGTGAAGATTTTCCTCAAGTGACTTTGAATGATGTCTTCTTCTCTCCCAAATCTTTCTTGTAGGGTTCTCAGAGCTTCCAGGTAGAGGCAGCCATTGAACAGCATGCCTTCAATAGCTTGGGCTGCCGGCCCTTCTACTGCGTTCTGCAAGTGAGCCATTCGCTCTGAGTCCGATAGAGACGGCTGGTCGTGGACGAGCGCCTTAAATAGGCCGATCCAGCGAGGCCACTCCTGAGGGCTGCCTCGGAAGGTAGGCAGCGTCAGACGTGGTATACTTTTCACGAATGCTGATGGGCCCGGGACGTCATATCGCCGCTCGGAACCCAACGCTGTCACCCAGCTGGTTGGGTCCTGGTTGGCAGTTCTCGGCGTCTCGTCGGCCATCGGAGAGGTACTAGTAGCTTTCGGTGGCGGCGGCTCGCGCCGGAGCTCTCCCAAACCACTGACCACGCGTTCTTGCTCTTGCTCGTTTCCCTTCTCGCGGCCGCATCCGGTGTTGTTTTGACGACTAGGCGCCACTTCCACAGCGACCTCATCTTCAAAGTCGTGTCTTCGTTCCCACTCCAACTCGTGGCCAGCGGCCCTCCAGAGACGCGCCTTCACAGCTGCACGTTCCACCTCCTCTTCTAGAGCCCTTTCTTCCAGCAAATCTGCTTGTTTTCTCATCTCTCGGCTTGCTTCTTCCATCGCTCGTTCTCTTTCCTTCCTTGCTTTGAGATGCTTCAGTTCGAGAGCTTTCAATTCCGCGGTGATTTCAGCCTCCTTGAAAGTGGCTGAAGCCTTTGAGCCTCGTGATATGTGAGACCCGCACACTTTGCTTCCTTCCTCAAGTTGCACCGATGGTAGGGGGAGCATTCCTGTGCGTGACGCTGAGCGGCTCGCTGATGGACGAGTTATCGCCTCTTCAATTCTAGCGACCGTTTCGGCGTGCCGTGCTGTTATTCTTGTGGCGTACTCCTCCGCTTCTTCCAACTCGCTCACATCTTGCAACTTCTCTACGAACTCCTCATTTGCCTCCATGAAGGCGTCCAGCGTTGTGTGCAGCGTCTCGAGCCGCTTCTTCAATTCCTCTTCACTGGCTCGCCGCGCTATTTGCGCGCCAGCCCTGTTACACGAGCGTGTGAACATGGCCGCCTTGCGACCGCGATGAAGCTTTAATGCCTTCCGTTCAGCGGTGATATCTCCATCCTCTCCTCCTGCAGGGTCGCAGTTCTCTGGCATCGTCTCCCGGTTCTCCGTCTCCGTCTCCTCTTGCCCTGCAGGCTCGCAATTCTCAGGCGTCGTCTCCTGGTGCTCCGTCTCCATCGCGTCTTCCATCGGTCCACGATGCTTCTCAATTCGACTGACACGGTGGGAGCAGAACTTATCGACGTCACGGACGGTCGTTCACGCGCAGTATCGACTTATTGTACATTCTCTTCTTGACTTCTTACATTCTTAACTGATACCATCCGGCCCGGAGGACCAGCGAATGTTGCGGACGTCTCTGGCTTTCTTGTGTGGACTGTATGTGTGTTTGTTACGTCTCGCAGCATTCGGGTTTGGCGGCCGGGGGAATTTTGAGAGGATGTAGGATTAATAGAGGCAGTGAACGAATAATGAAGAAGGGAAGTATCTAATCGGTAAATGAATAAACACGGATGAATAATTTACGGATCAAGGTTCAACAGCGCCCGTCTCAGAGCGCACAAGGAGCACACCTCGCGGCATGCATGTTGGGTCGTTCAACAGCGCCCGTCTCAGAGCGCATAAGGAGCACACCCCGCGGCATGCATGTTGGGTCGTTCAACAGCGCACGTCTCAGAGCGCATAAGGTGCACACCTCGCGGCATGCATGTTGGGTCGTTCAACAGCGCCCGTCTCAGAGCGCATAAGGAGCACACCTCGCGGCATGCATATAATGTAGGATGACAGAGGATTGATAGGAATAGTGAGTAGACCCGGCCACCGTGAGAACTGTGAGCTGCGCGCCGCTCTCCTTTCCTCCACTCGCCACTTCGGTTTCACTCACACCACCACCACTTAAACACAGTCTTCTAAATAGAAGAGTTCGCTATTGACCGAAGACGGCGAGATGGCAGCAGTACAGCACAGACACAGTAGTTAGAAAAGTTAGACGTGAGCGGCAGCAAAGCGCCGCCGTCCCCGTTTGAGAGCGAAGTGAACTCGTCGGCGACTAACAGTGAAGTGAGACCGAGCAGAGCCCGGTATCGGTTCAAATACACGGCCAAAATGTCACTCGATACAGGGGTCGTGACACAGAGCACAAAAAGGGCGGCCGGCACGCCGCGTCCCCTCACACACCCTTCCAGTTCCCAGGCCCAGGGCCCCGTCGGCCCCATTCGGAACAGGTCACAGGTCAGCCGGGTCGCAGGGTCACAGGGGGACGCCAGTCCACCGTTCGCAGCGTCGATATGGCCCATTGCCTCTGTCTCAGAAAAAGCTATGCGCGGCGACAGGTGGCCGCTGGGCGGGCGGCGGCCCGGCCCGGCGGCGGGACCGGCGGGGCGGGGTGAGGCGCGGCGCGGCGGCGGCTCGGCTCGGCATCGGCGGCGCGACATTTGCCTAGTTTGTCGGCAACAGCGACTACTCCCTATATTCATGTAACCGGCTGCTAAGGGCCGTTTAGGGCCGTTTACACGTCCCGCTCTTTCTCGTGAATTAACCAGCCAGACAAACTTCTGACATCAGCGCATTCAGTACGCCGAGGGGCCAGCTGTATGAATACAGCGCACTCATCTGGACAGTGGAGGAATGTGGCCTGCACTGGCGGCTGGCGGCCGGTTCTGGCGTGCCAGCCGGCCTGCTGCCTGGCGGCGGCGTGTAACTCATTCAGCGCGTCTGTATGTCTGTATGTCTGTCTGTGCCAGTTCCATGACCGCCAAATTGGCCGTGCCGCCGCTGCCGCCCCCAGTCCGCGTCGTCGGCGGCCTCAAGGCCGGCTGGCCGAGCGGTGAGCGGCTGACCGATCCGCCGGCCGGCCGGACGGGGGCCGGGCCGGGGGGCCGGCGGCGCAGCCCGGGAGTTCCCCGGACCGCGGGACCGCCCACTCGCCGTCCCGGAGCACTCCCGAGACGAGCACCGACAGCACGCCGCCAGTTCCTCCGGCCGCCGGTTTTACGGAGTGCGCGACGGCACTCGGAGCGTATTCCCGGAGTCCGGAGCGCCGCGGCGGGCCGGGGCCGACAGCGACTGGCGGGGTAGCTCCAATGATCACCGGCCGGTCCCGGAGCGTCCCAAACGGCTTCCACGAACACGCGAAGTCACGTGAGACAGAGCGCATATCGCTGACACGGAAACGGGCGAAACGGGCGACTGAAGCGCCTGCCGACATTGGTGGGCAACAAAAACCGAGCGTGTCGCTGACATACCATCCAGAAAGCCAGTGAACCTGATTTTATCGCTTGTCATGGGCATTGGGCAAGCCCCTTTTGGCTCGATCAGCATTCACCTCACTGAAGTTCGATTTGACCAACGGCCGCGCGCCGGTTGAGTAAGTTTGAGCCGGCCGGCCGGGCCATGAAAGCCCCGCTGCGCAGAACTGAGCGGGCGCACGGCTGCACTGTACACGGACCACGAGCGTCGCTGGGACGGTGTGGCCGCGCACACGGTCGGCGTCGCTAGGGACAGAGTCAACACTCCTCCGGGGCGGAGCGGCAGCTGCACCGGCGGCGCGGGGGACGCACCGAGGGCGGGGGGGGGGACGTACAGAGGGCGGGGGCGGGGGGGGGGCAGCAAAACGCTGCGGACGGCTCCCAGCAGCGCACCGGAAGGTAGAGGCGGATGGAGCGTATTCACGATAACGCTGAGAGGAGCAGACATCTCGAAACAACTAGCTGGCACCACACTACAAACAGCCTGAGCTGCAATCCGAGTGATGCTTTTGATGCGCATACGGAGCATCTGCGATACGAAGCGGTAGGTATATTTAAACGCAGCTTTTATTCGCTGTGACAACACAGTTCAAACTTGAACTGTGTTGCAATCTATGTCAGAAATATCAAAGGACGTCAGTGGGTGATATGAAATTTACCAAACTCTGCATGGACATTATGTGTATACTAAGTTCGAAACAAATAACTGCCGAGTGCTACAGTCCGCGTTGCAACAAATAAAAATAAAAATAAAAATGCGTAACTCTGCTCACTGCATGCTCTTTCCTCATTGGGAGGGCAGTGCGTGGTTCGGGCGACTTCCGTTCCCGGCCGTCCGAAAATAGCTCCTCCAGACCTCCGGCGGGATGCACCCGGGGGAGGACGGCAGACCGGGAGGGGGGAGAGGGAAGACGGGAGCTGCACGCCGAGATCGACCGGCCGGCGGCCACATGGTTTGGCATGGCGCCGCGCTCCCTCCCGCCCGGCCCGGCTGGAGAGCCGCTCGGCCCGCCCTGGGCAGGCGGAACGCCACACAGCTGCGCCAGGCCCAGCAGGGAAAACAAACCGACCGACGGCCGACGGTAAAAACTGGGCAAAGACGCCGCTCTGAGTGACCGGGCCGGACAGCGGAGCCAGCGCCAGTGTCTGCCGTCTGGAGGCGGTGACGGGCCAGGGTCGGGACATGGCGCGGTTATTGTTCACTGCATTGTGGTACGATACCCGCACTAGATAGCAATGTAATGGGAGGTTCGGCCACCAGGCAGCAGCGTTGTCTTCATTCCGTTCCCCGCATTCAGCCAAGTTTTAACTGAGCTGGCATGTCATCGGGTTGGATCTTATATGCTGCACGTGCCGCATGCACCATGAGCTCTGCAATCTTCCGTCCTGGCCCGCTGACAATGTCGGAGGGTAGGTTGGCTCGGCCGACTCCGGAGCCATGTCTATTGTCTATCCCCTACCGTCCCATGTAAGCGGACAGCATTACCTGCCGGCCGGAGCCGAGCGGGACTTACCTCTGTGAGACGAGTCTCCAGCGAGTCTCCCGGCGTCTCACTCCGTCCCAGTTCCCTCGGGCTCGCGGCGGCGTCGGAATGAGTCGGCGGCTCGTCCTGAAAACGGGCACACATTCACACACACTGGGATAATAGATGACCATAAAAAGACGGTAGAGCTATTTTTTCAAGGAATGAGGTCGTAATAAATTTACAAATAATAAACAAACCTGAAGTATAGTATGAACACACCTAAAAGCACTGCTGCCCTAAGCACGGCTCGAGTTGGCTGCGCAGCCTGATCTCCCGGCGTGCGCTGCCAGATGAGGCCGCTGGCAGTTGGGAGTAAACATTTACCGGGCGCCACGGCCCCGGCACCCGGACGCGGCTCTGTCCCCTCACCTACCCGTTCTGGCACAGCGCGGCCACATACTCCTCATCGGGGTCCACCGACTCATCCCATGCAGACCTCTGTTGGGAGCGAGCCCCTCCATAGTGCCAGTCATCGTAATGTATTAAAGTGGTGCATTAAAGGGCAAAGGGGTATTAAAACCGTATCGTTCTCTCTAGCTTCGCTACTAGGTAGTCTGGAAAGTCCGTATCTACGAAGTTAATTTCTGCGGCTGATTAATGAACATGTAATGGCTTACGCGACAAAACAAGTGTTCGTAGCCATCGAGGTAAATCAAACAAATGCACCGATTCTGAGGTAGTCGCTAGGCCGTCCCGCCCGGACCGGTGTGTCCCCATTGACTCGCCTGCTCGTCCGTCCCGCGCGGTCCGCATCTCCCGCCGACTCGCCTGCTCGTCCGTCCCGCCCGTCCCAGTGCCCCCAGTGAGTGACTCGCCTGCTCGGCCGGCTCGTCGGCCGGCTCCGTCACGCTGACCCGGTGCGCGTACTGCAGCTCCATGCCCTCGTCTCCGGTCCCACTGACGTCCAGGTCCGCAGACACGTCACCGCTGATGTCGGCCGGCCCCGTCCGCTGACGGGGCGCCGCCGCCGTCTCCGCCACTGTGCGCGCCGTCTCCGGAGACAGCGGCGGAGACGGAGACGGCTCGGGCGCGGCGGCGCGCGGCTCGACCGGGGGCTGCGTCCACGGCTCCAGCGGCGGCGGCAGCTCCGCGCAGTCGTCAGAGGGAGCTCTGTCCGCGCCAGTCGCCGGCTCGTCGTACGGCGGCGGCGGCGGCGGCAGGCCGGCCAGCTCCAGCTCCGGTGGCGGCGGCGGCAGACTCCCCAGCTCCGGCGGCGGCGGCAGCTCCTCCCCGGCCGCCGGTGTCCCGAGCGGCGGCGACTGGGGCGGCGGCGGCGGCGGGGGCGGCAGCTCGTGTCCTCCGGCGGTCTCCAGTACCGGAGTCCGTCGCGCGGTGGGCGTCTGGGGGGTGACCCGGCCCGGCAGCCGCCATCCGTCCACCTCGACGTCCTCAGAGGCAGACGGTGTCAGGGTGCGCGGCCGGCCCAGCGGCGACGGGGTGCTGGCCAGGGAGGGGGGCCGCCGGCCGGGCGCGGTCTCCAGTCGGCCATCCTCGCGCACCGCCGGCGGCACGGGCGTCAGACTCTCCGACTCCGCGCACAGGTCCACCTCCAGTACTGTGGAGGACTGCTTCCGAAGCTGGTGTTCGTGCTGGTCCTCCGGCTGGTTTACGGGTCCGCTTCCCTCGCGTTCTCCGTCCAGCTCTTCGTAATGCTCATCGTCATACTGTTCCTGGTCTTGTTCCCTCGCCTGGCTCTCTATCCGGGCGTCCAGGTGGCCTTCCAGCTGGAGCAGCTGCGCCTGGACGGCGTCCACGCAGGCGTCCAGACGCTCCAGGCGGCGCTCCAGGCGGCTGAGTTTGCGGGGCCGCGCCGGACTGCCGCCCTCGGCCGGCCGCGACTGCTTGGTGGACGTGGCGGCCGGCCGGGGCCCTCCGCCGGCCTCAGGTGACCCCGAGTCCCCGCTGGCGGCCGGCCCACTGCGCAGCTCCGTGGAGAAGGAGGCCGAGCGCTGCACGAGCCGCTGCTCGGGCCGGTAGAGCGCCGGCGCCGTCACCACCACCACGGCGCCGGCCGGCTCGGGCGGGCCGTGCGTCCCCTCCGCGCCGGCCGCCGCGCCGGGCCGGCTCACCACCAGTCGCGCCCCGCAGCCCGCCGGCTGCGGCTGCCGGCGGCCGGCGGCGGACACGAACACCGCGGACGGCCGCCGCGGCTGGCCCTCGGACGAGTCCGCCTCCGAGGACGGCTCCCGGTCCCCGGCCGATGACGACGGCAGACCGTCATCACACGTCACCGCAGGCGTCATCGCGGCCGGGGAGCGCGTCTCGGCGCTGCCGCTGGCGCCGCCGCTGTCCCGGCTGCCGGCGCTGCTGCTGCGCCGTCCGCTGAAGCCGGCCCCCAGCGGCGGCAGCGGCGGGAAGTCCTCGTCGAGCAGCTTCTCCAGGGAGGGCGTGCGCGACTTGCTGCGCCAGGCGGCCCAGCCGGGCAGCGAGAGGTCGGCCGTGTCCGGCGGCGAGTCGTAGCTCCAGTCCTCGCCCAGCGACGGCGGCTCCGTGTCCTGCTGCGGGGGGTAGCGGGAGGTACGTCAGAGACGAGCGACACAATACGGAGCAGCGGATACTCTGGTGAATACTGGGACCAACGTCATCCTGATTCTGTCAGGCAGCATGATGGAAATAGTGCCGATAAATCATACGGAGCATTAAGTTCTCGTCCAAGGTTTCGATAAGTTCTCGCATTAAGGTATCGATTTAATCACACACAAATACCTCAAAGTATGCTCTTACGGACACATGATCACCATCTGGGCCAGTCAATTAGTTACCTGTGACTCGGGGCTGGAGTCGCCGTCGCCGTGCTCCAGGGAGCCGGAGCCGGCCAGCGGAGCCGTGACCAGCTCCTCCAGTGAGGCCAGGGAGCCGGCGGCGGCGGCGGCGGCGCCAGTGGCGCCCTCTGCGCTGCCGTACTCGGACGACTGAGCGGTCAGCCAGTCCGAGTCGGTGGACCGCCAGGAGGCCGAGCGGTGCAGCGCACAGTCCGGCCCCTCCTGGGGGTCACAGAGCGGTCAGCGGGTCACAGGAAGGGTCACGGAGAGGGTCGGAGGGAGGGTCATAGAGAGGGTCGGAGGGAGGGTCGGAGGGAGGGCCCAAGGACAGGTCGGAGGGGAGGGGAGTCGATGCAGCAGGGATTAGAGCAGGCCCTGAGGCCAGAGAAAGGTAAGATAGAACGAGGGAAGGGGTCAGAGAGGAATGGATGCGAGGTTGTCGGGTTGGGTGGGCAATCAAAAGATATGGGCAAGTTCAACCAAGGGTAAAGCTGGAAACTGAATGAAATAGGTTGGCCGGCATAAAGCCTCTCATTCATGATGCTTCTCGACCGTAAAAGAAGGCTGGCAGTTTCTAATGTAAACGTCTTCCGGAGAGCCGGAAGAATCGAATGGTTTGGATCTGATTTCCAAAAGAAACAAACGTGGCCTCAGCCACCACAACATCCCACAAAAGAACAGCATCACAGGTCCAGTAAAAAGCAGTGATCCGGAGGGGCCGGAAGCGTGCCTACGATAGAAGTAAACCCAACCTAGGAGAGAAATGGGACAATATGTGATAAGATTTATAACGAAAAATGAAATGTAACGCAACACGAATCAATGGCACGGAACAGGCCAACACACAAAAAGAACGACGCAGGACGAGGTGACCGCAGAGCCCATATTGTCAATGGTTGTGCTCATCCTTGGTACGCATGATCTTGTCAATTTAACAAGACGGTTCTCCCTCGATTCTCACCTCATCTCTGCCGGTGCCGGTGGCGGGCGCCCGCTCCTGAGCGCCCGCCGCGCCGAGCACCTGTCTGGACACGGGCGAGCTCTCCATGACGGGGCCGGAGTCGGGCGAGTCGCCGGCCGCCCGCCGCCACTGCCGACACTGCGCGTCCAGGCGCGCCCACAGGAACCCCACCTCGGAGAGTTTAGCGGAGATGGCCGCCCGCGCGCCGGCGTTGCGCTCCGACTCGCTGAAACACGACAGCGGGCGCCCAAACGGTTACCGAACGGGACGTGTTTAGGCGGCGGGTCAGCTGGGTATGCTGGGTCCGGTGTGATCGGGGGGGGGGGGGGGGGGGAGGTGGCCTGGTTGACCTGCATAGTTCCGCACCCACCAGGCGAGAGGCGAGTCGTGTTTGACTCGGGCGTTACCGTTCACCGGTTCCTGAAATGCTAGTATATGTGGGTACGTACTCTTCGCAGTCTGTCAATAGCCTAAGCAGAACCGACAGACAACAAATAACTTATTGGTATTGTTGAGAACAAAAAAAAAATTCGGTCGTCGTGTCAAATTCAGGACGGTAAATGTGGTCAGTTCACCAAGGAGAACCCGGTCACGCGAGGGAGCAGACCGACGCGACGTCGCCAGCCGTGATAATAGCTTCCGACAATTGGAACCCTCAGTCGGCACCAAAGATTATCGGCTTAGCAGGCTTATCTCACCGCTGAGCAGGAATCAACGCTATGTGAAGCAATGCTTTTCAACATTCAAAATATGCATCGCTCAGGCGCTAAATTTTACCGTAAGGACATTTGACCGAGTCGGTTCTAAAACTGGCGAGTGCACTAACTCACAGAGCGCGTCACGGTGAAATGAGCCGCCGTTTCCGGCGCCGCAGGGCACGCGGCCAGCACCCGATGACAACCGGGCGCTACGCGCGCTCTGACGGATCGGCTGGCGCTGCCAGCTGTCCCCGCGGTACCGCCCGGGGGGGGGGGGAGGGGGGGCAGCAGACGGCCGGAGTAGCTCCGGCAGGCGCCGCAGGCAGGCGGTGCGCCAAATCGGCCGGCACGGCTGCCACGCCGCAGCGGCCACGGTCAGCTCAGAACGGCGCGGAACGGCACGGAGCACCGCGGCCCGATACGGACTCGTCACGGAGCGATACGGCACGGCACAGAACGGCACGGAGCGACTGAGGAGCGGAGTGGCGGCGGCTGAGCCCGTCTCCCGGGCCGGACACGGCTCGCCGACAGCCCGCCCGTCGGGCGCTCACCGGCCCATTGAGGGGTGCCAGCGCGGCGGCCGAGACCGTCCGCGGTCCGCCGCCGGGATTTATCGCCGGCCGGCCGCCGGGGGTCTGTCGCCGGCCGGCCGTCGGGGGTCTGTCGCCGGCCACCAGGTCTGTCGCCGGTCGGCCGCCGTGTCTGCTGCCGGTTGTCCGCCGGGGGTCTGTCGCCGCCCGTCCGCCGGGTCTGTCACCGGCCACTGCACCGGGTCTGTCGCCGGCCGGCCGCCGAGCCCTGACGTGCAGCCAGCCCGCCGGTCCGCCCCGAGTCGTTTGTCTCGTGACCCGGGCGGAGAAGGTGTAGGAGACAAATTGGACTTGGCACTGGGCGTCACATAGTGTGACGCTATGGCCCTGCCGCGGCTGTGGCCGACGATGCCATGGTCAGGTGGCTGTGGCTGTTCCATAATTCAGTGTCCAGCGCTTTAGAGGGGATTTGTCTCTAATCCCCGGCATTCGGTTACAGCAGACCAGCCGCAAGAGATAGTATAAAAGTCATTCGTTTTGTCTTCAAATCATTAGTACGACCGGCTCATTGCGTTGCACTGAGTGATCCACTATCATTATACGGAGAACGCCTGCATTGGCCTAGTAACTCGGATGAACAAAACGATCTGAATGTTTCACCTGTCAGTCGCCTCTCTGTAACCCAGACACGCACAGACCGCGCCGAACTTGGCCCAATACCTCCTGCCGTCCCTGAGGAGCCTGCCCCCTCCCCGCCCTCCGGCCATCCCTCACGGGCGACCCCCGGCCGTCAGAGGCGATCGGCGCGGGGCATACCGGCCCGGGTGACGGTGCGGCCGCGCGCCACGGCCGCGGCGCGGCGCGCAGCAGGAACGTGGAGGTCGGTGTCGGGCCGCGGGCGGCTGCCAGCGCGGCCCGGGGCGCCGCCGGCACAGTTTGGGACGGAGGTCGTGCCGCCGCCCCGGTAAGGCAGCTATTCTCGGTAAGAGGAGGAGGGCGGGGTGACGACTGGTGCGAGTGGAAACGGATCTGATGGAAGTGGGCGGGTACTCGGGCGCGGAGATCCCTCAGATGTGCCGATCGGTCGCTGATGGAGACGACCTCACACCTGTTCGGCGACAGTGGATACGCTGCGAAGTATGTCGGACATCAAAGGAAGCAGGTCAACGCAGCTGAGGGCTAAGGCAAGACTCAAGGGGGATCTGTCAAGATGCTCACCGCTTTTCACACGGCGGTCGGCGGGGATCCTGGGACATGCGTGTCGTGTCTGTAAGGAAATTTAACTTAACAGCACTGGTTTATTGGAAGTCACTGAGTAATGATATCATAATTTAAGTTTAGGCACAATCGAACTTATTTTGGTAATCAGATCGACGGTGAGTCCATATCGAGCTTTCGCGACCGTGAACAATGACCAAATAAAGATTGTGAGTACCGTGATACATGACATGATACCATGATCCACACCTCAAACACCCCGATAAAGTCAACGTCATATTTAAATGTTCAGCTTAGAACAGCTACCCTCCGCTGTTCAGCTTAAACTTGAGGAAATGCAGAAAAATGGAATGCCTATTTCAATTCCGACATGGCCTTCCACATGGGCATCCTCCCGGCCGTCCCTCCCACCCCTCCCCCCCCCCCATCCACCTACTCATCCACACCCTCACACCTGCACGCCCACTCCCCCACCTACCTGTGGTTGTGCGGAGTCCCGGCTCAGTCACACCGAACTCCGGCCACTCGTCACTCTGTACCCACTCTCCCCCACTCGGCTGACCGGTGTGACCCGCGCCGCTCGGCCGGTCCCCCGGCGGGTCGTCCGCCGGTCACCGTCCGCGCTCCGCCCGGTCTCCCAGTGGGTAGGTCGCTCGGTCCCGGCGGCAGCTGGCGGGGACGCTGCCAGTGCCGGCCGTCGCCTCACGTTTGGCACTGCCACCAGGTCGGCCCGGCGGCCGCCCCCGGCTGCTGCCCCGGCCCACAACTCGGAGCCGCCGGCGCCTACCGACGCACCGGCCGGCCCCGTCCAAATCACCGCCGGGGAGAGCAGGGAGCCGGCGGCAGAGCGACGGAGGAAGGTGGGCGGCACCCCGCGACCCTCCCCCTAACCCCGCTCAGGTACCCCCGTTTGGAGCTGCGGAGCTCAGCGCTGACGGCGGCGGTAGGATGTTTACGTAACGAGGGTGCTAATGGTTGCGTGTGGGCCAACCGCGGCGGCGCGGCGGTGATTATATTCCGTATATCCGCTGCTGCCCACCTATTTGACACCGCGTAGTCGCACTCTGAGCGGCTCTGCCCACCTGGGTTTGACGTCGTCCTGGAGCCGCTCTCGGAGCAGCTTTCCCAGCCGGATGGTGCGGCCGACGTCTCGCAGCAGCGTCTCCCGCTCGCCCAGCTGACTGCCGACGGCGTCAGAAGAGGCCGACGACGGCGACGACCGCGGCGAGGAGGCGACCGACGAGGCGCGCGCCGGCCGCGGCGGCTCGCAGCACAGCTGCCGCAGTCGACGCAGTTGCTGCGGGGAGCGTGAAGTGCATGAAACAATACTGTATACAGAATGGAAATGATGGAGACACGGGCACACCACACACACTACATAGTTGGCGAATTGATAAGGCCCCCATCCCCCTCAAGTGACACCCTCCGTCCATCCTGTATGTAGGAACTATAGTGCAGCTGCAGTTCAGTGAAGCCCTCCGGCCGTCCTGTTATCGCACAGGTGCCGGCAGTCCCACATCCTCGGATAGAACACCTCCCAGCTGTCGGTAATCGGCTGTCCCACAACCCACTCTCCGGACAGTGACATCTCCCAGCCGACGGCCGGAGACGGCGCCTTCCGGCCCAGTGACCCGAGGAGGAACTGACAGCCGTCGTCCCGCTCCCAGCCGGGCCAGTCTGTGAGACGGGCCGCGGACCGCGGTCCCCGCCCGGCAGATCGCACCGGCCACCGGCCGGCTGTACCTCGTCGGCGGTGCGGTGGAACACGGCGGCCACTCGAAGGCGCGTGATGTGCTCCTGGGCGGCGGCCCTCAGCCGCGACCAGGCCTCCTCCAGCCGGCCGCTCAGCTGCCCGGACACCTCGTCACCGCCCAGCCGGCCGGCCGCCGCGCACGACTCCGCCCCGTACTCGTACGTGCGCTGGAAAAATCGAACAAATTATTTGTACTTCATAGTACTTGCAGCACTGAAGCATCAGTTTCAGTACCTTTACTCAAATGTAACGCTAGGAGATGGAACAAATCACGAAACACACTAAAAGTTCCAGTCACCCGCTGCCTGCGCCGCCCTCACCTTTGCCGTCTCCTCGAAGCTCTGGTGTTGTCGCTTCATCAGCTGTATCTCGGTATTGTCTCGGCCCACACGGGCGTGCTCTGAGCCGAGCAGGCGACTCAGGTCCGCCAGCCAGGAGAGCGCCTGGGGCGGAGGTCAGGGACGTCATATCACCGGCACACACCGGGGGAGCGCCTGGGGCGGACGACAGGGGGTCCGCCCTGTCGTCCAGCTGTCACAACCAGCTGTCACACAGTCATCACTGCATTCTGAGGTAACGAGGATACCCTTCCTGTTAACGAGGTGACTAAAAGATCGGCGTGTAAGCCCGTCCCGTCGGCCGCCACACCACCCCAATAAATAGTCCGGTGGTCTCGGCAGCCTCTCCTCTGTGGGATGATGGAGCGGCCGTCCCGCCTAGCAGCCGGTGACCGTCAAGGAGCGACGGCCCGCTGACAGACGGCTGTGTGTGTGTCTGTCTGTCGGTGCTGCCGCAGCGGGACAGACACGACTCAACGGTTACGGCGGCCGCTCACATACGGCGCATATGGTCCCGCACCGGCTCTGTAAATACCCGCTGGCCGACCCCGGCGCCCTCACTGACCTGCTCGGCCTGCGCCTGACACTGGCCCAGCTGCAGCGTCTGCTGGAGCCGCAGCCGGCTGATCTCCCACGTCTCCAGCACCGTCTGCACGTGCTGCTGCAGCCGCTGAGAAAGACGCGTCACGTGCGCCAGCTCCGAGCTGCCGGCACACCAGCGACACGTGTCACGGGGATCGACAGGTGGCGGCCTCAGCTTGGGTGAGATACAGGGTAGCAGAGCCGCTTACTTGGTTTTGGTCACACAATGAACACATGCAAATGATGTCAAAGCTGCTTATTCAAAGTTGTTCCTCTCAAAGAAAAGCTGATCGATTGTGTACGCGGGTGATAACTGTTCGATTATTGACCGGTAATCGGGGGTGATGTCCTGACCATAGGATATGCGAGCGACAGGTTCACTCACTCACCTGTAGTCGGGGGTGATTTCCTGACCAGAGAATATCCGAGCGATGAGCCCACTCACCTGTAGTCGGGGGTGATGTTCTGACTAGAGAATATCCGAGCGATGAGCCCACTCACCTGTAGTCGGGGGTGATGTCCTGGCCGGCCGAGTTTTTCACCGGCAGCGTCAGCATGTCCTGCAGCTTCTCACCCGTCCGGCTCAGCTCGGCGTACGTCCGCTCTATGCAGACAGACAATGGAGTGATTTTTACATCTCATATTCTCATAAAAACACCATGTAAGATTATATCCAACCGAGCGATGTCTAATGGAGTCAACTGACAAGGAGTGCATTGCAGCTCAATGATGATTCGCACTCATATGCATTTAAATGAGTAAACATGCCGCTGGTCATGAAAAGCGGCCTATCCCTAACCAAGACTCGGGAGAGGACGGGGCCGATTCGGGGGCTATCACAGCGACACCTAGGTACACCGTTCGAGCTCCGTATCGTCGGCAGAGTGTCGGCAGCTTACCCGTGTCGTCGGCGACGGTCTGCATGCGTCGGAGCTTGTCGGCGAGCTGGTCGGGCTGCAGCGACTGGACGCCCTCATCGGCGGCCTCCAGCAACACGTGGCACGTGTCAGAGACCTACCGGGAGGGACAGAGCACGTGGCACGTGTTAGATACCTACCAGAGGGACACGGACAGCCAGACGAATCACTGAACAGCGCCGGAGATGACGTACATATTGACAGCTGGACAAACAAAACTGTCAAACCGGCCCGTCGTCCAGCAGCTACGAGGCTGTCAAACCAGTCAGTAGTCCGCGGCTACATCCTGAACAACTTCGGACACGAGGAAAATATGAGGGGGGGGGGGGCGGTGAGCAGCAGGTGTCCCTCCCCTCTCCTCCCCCGGCTGACCTGTTCCAGTAGACGGTAGAGCCGCGCGGCGGTGATGAGCAGGTCCCTGGTACCCCTCCCCCTCCCCCTCCCCGCTGACCTGTTCCAGTAGACGGTAGAAGCGGGCGGCGGTGATGAGCAGGTGCCGCCGCCGCTCCAGCCGGCTGGCCAGCGCGCGGCACACGCTCTCCATGTAGCGCCGCTGGCCGGCCAGCGAGGCCGCCTCCTCGGCAGAGGCCGTCTCGGCCGAGCGGCCGTCGGCGGCCTCCTCCAGCAGCCGGCGCACCGCGGCAAACTCGGCGTACGTGTCCTAGGGCAGAGGTCAGCAGAGGTCAGATTGGGATAGGGGTCAGATATCGGCAGCATAGAGGGGAGATTAGAGGTCAGAGGTCCCAATATAAGCCGGGTCAGGGCTGAACACTGGGCGTGGAGGGTGGTCAGGAGTCGGCAGAGGTTCAGGCAGATGAGAGTTTAGCATACAGGTCAACGAGGAAGTGCGATTGAAGCATGTTCCTAAGTAAAGATATAAAACAAAGTGGCCAGCTTCTCACCCTGCACTGCAGCTCTGCCTCGTCGTGGAGCTCGATGAGCCGCTCCGAGGAGGCCACGTCCCGACCAATCAGCGCCTGGGACGCCAGAAGCTCCTCCCCCGGGCCGAGCACCCAGCCAATCACGTCGTCGACCCGCCTGACCAGCAGCCGATGGAGGTCGGCGCGGCCCAGAGCCGTGTGCAGCTCCGACCAGGCGTGACGCACCAGGTCACAGTGAGAGGTCAGGTCAGTGACCCGCTGCTGCACCTGAGGGGTCACAGTGAGAGGTTAGGTCAGTGACCCGCTGCTGAACCTGAGGGGTCACAGTGAGAGGTCAGGTCAGCGACCCGCTGCTGCACCTGAGGGGTCATATAAGGTCACAGTGAGAGGTCAGGTCAGTGACCCGCTGCTGCAACTGAGGGGTCATACGAGGTCACAGTGACAGGTCAGGTCAGCGACCCGCTGCTGAACCTGAGGGGTCACAGTGAGAGGTCAGGTCATGTCAGTGACCCGCTGCTGCACCTGAGGGGTCACATAAGGTCAGGTCAGTGACCCGCTGCTGCACATGAGGGGCGACATAAGATCAGATCAGTGACACACTCCTTGACCTGAGGGGTGATATAAGTCCACAGTGAGAGGTCAGGTCTGAGACAAGTATTCCTATACTGGTATATTGACTCGGAGCTAAGCCACACTGACGGCACATCCAGCGTCCACACGCCGGTCACTCAGCCCTGTGACACGCACCTGTTGTCGCTGGTTGAGCGGGTCCGGATCCGGCGGGGTCCGGGTCCGGGGGTCCGAGTCCGGTGGAGTCCGGGTCCGGGTCCGAGGATCCGGGTCCGGCGGCCTGCCGCTGCTCCGCCGCTGGAGGCCGGGCTCAGAGCTCGGCCGGAGACTGGACAGCAGCTCCTCGCCTGGGGAACACAACGGCCGTCAGAATAGAGCACGCAATTCGACTCATATTCGCCGACAAACAAAATAGGAAAAACATGATGATGACCGGGTCGTGTGACTCCTCATATAGCCAAGACGTAAGAGCCCATGGATAAGCGTATGTCGGCCGCAGCCCCCTCAGCCCGCCCCTGTGTGTATCTGTGTCCGGTCCCGGTCGGCCCTGTGTGTGTCTGTGTCTGTGTCCAGTCTGGGGCATATTTACCTGTGTGTATGACGCCCTCGGCGGTGTCCAGCGCCGCGCGGTAGAGCGGGCCGGCCGTGCCGATCGTCTCCCGCAGCTGCGCCGCTGGCGCGGCCTCGGCGGGCAGCAGGCGCAGCCACACCGTCTTCAGCGCGTCCAGCGCGGCACCGGCGTCCTGCAGAAACTGCTCCAGTCGCTGCCGGGGACGAACGGGAGGGAGCGCTGATTTCAATGGAGTTCTTTCTTTTGATCACAATGGTCTATAGGATTGAACAACATCGAAAGTTTTTCCACTAAAATGCAGCTATAGTAATACAGCGACAGCGGAATTTCATCCTTCGTGACTTCAGTGAAATGCAAACTAGAACCGAGCGTATTCGTCTATCCGTCACGTTTCGCTATCACATCTCACCATTCTGTCCTGGATCCAGTCCTCGTGGTTGTACGGGAACGTCCCTCCCAACTCCTCGGGGATCTGGTCCGGGGCGATGTAACGCTGCAGTTTCGACAGAGGAATGTACTCCGGCTAAAGGCAGAGAATGTGGCATGTTAGACGAGCAAACAGTTCCACACTCGGCTGGCTTATGCACACACGACACACGCTCTGATAAGGTTTACTCACTTCGGTAGTCTGTGTACGTTTGTAATGATTACAGCAAAAACAAATATGGGATTGGTACGTACATCAAAGTGGTATATACAAACGTAGTACATGAAGGCTTCTGAGAGGCTAAGAAGCTTTTTCTATGTTTGCAGAACGCACTGCATGAAAAGTATTGTCACGCAAATGGCACTGAACAGTGCAACATTATGCATAAATTCATGTGTGAAAATCATCCAACACTGGGTTGTTGACAATATTTATTTCGCCATATCATTCGAAACTACATATACAATCCATAATCTACATTCCACAGTTCTAATGAGGCTCATACAGTCAAGCAGGACACCTCAATCATCACATCACGCTCATAGTCTCACATATCCCGCCCCGTCTCCGCCTCGGTCTCCAGCTCCGTCCTCGTCTCCGACTTCGCCCGCTCCGTCTCCGTCTCTGTCCGCTCCGTCTCCGTCTCCGTCTCTGTCCGCCCCGGCTGCGGCCGCGCCCTGGGCACCTGGAAGTGGTGGAGCTTCTCGTTGAGCGCCCGCTCCTGCTCGATCAGATAGGTGGCGTGCCGTTTGTAGGCGTCGTACTCGGCTCGGAGAGCAGTCAGCTGCTGGCCGAGCCGTGCCACCTCGGCGTCGCGCAGCGCCTCGCGCCGCTCCTGCTGCGCGCGCAGCTCGTGCTCGGCCAGCCGGCGCTGCAGCTCGGCCAGCTCCCGGCGCAGCTGCTCCTGCTGGACGTCCTGCTGACGCACCTGCCGGCCGCGGTCAGACGCCAGCGCCGTCAGCTGCGCGCAGCGCCGCTCGCGCTCGAAGGCGCGCTGCTCCGCCTCCTGGCGCTCCTGCTGCGCGTGCAGCTCGGCGTCGCGCAGCCGCTGCTGCAGTGTGGTGCAGACGGCGGCCAGCCGCGCGCCGCGCGCCGCCTGCAGCCGCTGGCGCTGCGCGGCGTCCTCCAGCCGGCGGCGCAGCGCCGCCTCCGTGTCGGAGCTGCTGCGGCGCAGCGTCTCCAGCTGGCGGCTCAGCCGGCCGCGCTGCTGCTCGGCGTCGCCCAGCCGGCCGCGGACGTGCTGCTGCTGCTGCTGGCTCTGCTCCAGCTGGGAGCGCAGCAGGTCCAGCTCGCCCTGTTTGCGGGACAGCTCCCCGGAGAAGAGCTGCTCGTTCTCGTGCAGCAGGCGCGCGTTGTCGGCCTGCAGGGCGCGGTTCCGTGTCTTGTACTCGTCTTTGATCTTGGTCAGCTCGTCATGGTTCTGACTGAGCACCTGGAATCGTCTGTGCAGCAGCTCCAGCTGGTCGCTGGTCTCCTGCAGCCGGATCTGCTGGACGCTGCGGCTGCCGCGGGGCGTCCTCCCGCTCTGCTGCTCCTGCTGCTGCTGCTGCTGCTGTTGCTGACGATGGAGTCGCTCTCCCAGCTCGCTGTTTCGCTGCGTTAGGAGCTCGATCAGTTTGTTCTGCTCCTGAATGCGCCTTCGCAGCACCTCCGGACCCTCACAGTCCCCAGACATGTTCTGTGTGTTGTTTCAACAGAGGGGATAATCAATCATACTTCAACACTTTGAATGCTTATTTGAGTACAAACTGGCGGTAGCGCCAACATTCTATCGGTGATCGTTTTCGAGAAGACGGCCCGGAACAAGGCGCCCGGCATGGCCATAGAGGCCAAGATAGGCATGGCAGCAATGGCAGTTAAGTTTTTTTTGCTCATATTTCGAAAACGTGCCGAACATCTGGCATGTGCTACCAAGAAAAATGTCCTCTTCACATTGAGGTCGGAAGTGTGTTCATGTTTTCGCATTTTAATGTTGAACATATGTATGCGGCTGTTAGCAGCATGATTTATCAATCCAAATCGCAACAAATTGTAACTTTTACTATGCCTCTATATTCCTCGCTGACAACTTAAGCACTCATGTGAAATGTTGGCAAGATTTGTACGTAGAAGCATGTACATAGAAAACAAAAATACGAGTTTGTGCACTTGAAATGAAGTTTTTTCTTGAAGACCCCGTAAGCTGTAAACGTGCGAGTGCGTGCACTGTGCTGCGCACTGACCTGCACGTCGTCCTCTGGCCGTCCGCAGGTGACGCGCTGTTTCTCCCAGAAGGAGTCGTGGCGCAGCACCAGCTGCACGCCGGTCCGGCCGCTGATGGCCGCCAGCGTCCGCTGAACGGCGCGCACCGAGCGCCACGAGCCCGCGCGGGCGTCCAGCACCACACAGAGCGGCGAGTCGGCCGGTCTTTGAAAGGAAGGGAGAGTCAGTATCAGTAAAGGGCGCCCAGCACCACACAGAGAGGCGAGTCGGCCGGCCTGTAAGGAAGGGAGAGCTGTCAATATACATGGTCTGTTATACGGTTCTTTCCAAGAAAAAAAATGAAATCCACGAAACTAGGTATCAGAAACGGGAAATGTCAGCCTAATTAGCCAGATAAGTTTCAGGAACAAACATCTACCTTGAGAAGTCGAGAAGGATGTGGTTGAAAAAAACGATGCTCAAGCGAAGAAGGATAAGGCAATAATCGGGCAGGTCATTGTAACAGGTCTGTCCGGTGACTGACCTGAGAGGAAACCCAGCTCTACCGCTCCAGTCCGGTTTAAACGGCGGCTGAGCCGAATCAGAACCCGACCCCGCTGCCACTGTCGGTGCGAACGGCGACAGGTGACCAGATGTTGCCAGCAGGACTCAGACGGCGTAATACGGCCTCGAGCGCGGTTTGTGACACAAAAAGCTGCCTTCCTAACTTGATACCTACTTTTCAACCAACGAAATCCGTTCCATCATAAGCAATTTTATCTTTTTTAAATTTTTGGGAGTCAAGCTCCCCCGACACCGCCATCTGAGCTTTTATTGCGTCGGAGAAAGGTCATAATTATCTAATCGAGATAATGACTAAATGGACTCACACCACCTCATTATGTTTTAATGCACTCAGCTTTCATGTAACACTTCAAAACAGAGTAGCAGATGTTTTGTCCAGCGGAAAAGCTGAAGGCCCGAACCGCGATGGACGCAGAGATCGACGGTTGGTAGACCACATTCCGGCCTAGTCAGCCCAGCCTTAGTCCGTAAGTAGCGCCGCCGCGCTGACCCCAGACCCCATTATGCCGACTGTTTTACCGTCCAAACGAAAACAGCTCACAGACGCCCTGAATGTCACTTTTTGTCCACCGGGTCAGCTGTATAGCTGTCACTGTAAAGCCAAAATGGTTTCCCACACAGGAGGAAGGGCCAGTAGGTGGTGTAGGGGCAGCGAACAGCGGCGACAGTTCGACGGGTACTTACACGGCACAGGAGACAAGGTAGCGTCCTTGACCCGTCCGTCAACAGCCTCTTTATGCCCCCAACAAGGGCATTCGATCGGTTGGAAAGTGGCACGATGAAAAATCTTGGCTCCTTGATAGGACAAAAAAACATCACAAAAAAATCAAACTAACCGGAACGATGTGAGGTAGATGACTGTTCGGTATCAACTAACCCAAGAACACGATTTTCAATACTTTCGATTAGAAGTGCCGTGCGGCAGCTAATTGACTCTCGGTCAGATTGCAGACCTACCCACAGGCCAATACGTGGAACACGCCCGGTTGGAGAGGCTGCAAAGTGCGGTCCGTTTGACCGGCGGCCACAATCACTGAGCGGGGTCCAGGAAGTGAGGAGGGAAGGAGAAGGGGTGGCCGCAGCAACCAATCTCAGAACGCATCGTCCGCCCGCAGTACGACCGAGTAATGACCGACACTAGTTACAACCGCCGGCATTATCGCGAGCCGTCGGGTGTGCTGCGCGAAAACCGTTCAGCCGTGTCAGATATCAAACGGACAGTGCAGAAAATGACCAACGTGTCAGGCAGGCCGCAGGCGTGTCAGGTTTCAGATGGCCCATACATATAACTTACTCCTTTGCTCTGAGAGGCGAGACAAGTTCCAGCATAACCATTTGAGCTAAATGTGCAGCAGTGAGTAATTACATTAATTGCCCGGTATTCGCGGAATGTGGGACGGTCACTGACTCCGTGCTCCCTCCACAGCTGATGAGAGCAACAAACTCACCTGAGTAGAGTACACCGAACCTTAGAGCACATACCACAATAGCCACAGACTCACCTGGGTAAACTGAGCCGCCGAGTACATACCACGGACTCACCTGGGTATGTCCACCAGGTACCGGGCCGCTGTGTACTAGTGATGTCAATTACAGAAAATCGGAATACCGATACCAAACCAAATACCAACCAAAACCACGGGAAAATACCGAAACCAAACCAACTTGGGAAAATGAGGGAAATACCTACTTTTTACCGATTTCTTAGCCTCTTATACCTTAGTGAGGCCTTATGATACCAACACAATACCAAACACATTACGATTGAAATACCAAATACCAAGTTGGTATCGGTTTGGTATCGGTATACCAAAAAGTTGGTATCCGATTGACATCTCTACTGTGTACCTCACCATAGACTCACCTGGGTATGTCGGCCAGGTAGCGGACCACCTGTTGGAGCTCCTGCTCTGACCAGAGGCCGCCGTCGGCCGGCACGCCGACGAACAGCACCGGCCGGCCGGTCAGGTCGCGGCTGCCCGGCAGGCTGGCCGGCCGGCCCAGCAGCGCTCCCAGCAGCTCTGAGGCCCACATGGCAGGGCGGACGGTCCACGGAGGTGTCACAGGCCGCCCTGAGGCTGCAGTAGATCCACAGAGAGGGATCGCGGGCGGCAGAGGCGCGCGGCTGCCCACTGACGGGACTCAGCAGTGCGGAGCTCCGAACTCCGGCGGCCGTGTCGGGTCACCGCGATCACGGCGGGTGGGTGTCCGTTCCCGTCTCGGGTCAGCACGAGGTCACAGCCGGGTCAGAAGGCCGTGAGAGAGCAGCCGCCGCTGGTCCCATTTGATGCAGCTGATCTGGAGCAGTGAAGGTGGCAAGGCTGACGCCAGTCCAATTCAGTGCAGACGTGGTGCTCAGGCTTTTTCGCACTTAAAACTTTTCGTTCACAATCACAATCGTATATCACACTGCGCTCATAAAATTGTTACCCAGTAGCACAGTTGTTTTGTCACCAAACCATTACAAATTCGCTTCACCACAGAACATAACACTCTCGCTCCCGCCGCGGGCACGGGTCCTTCCGACCGTCCACCGTCCACCGTCCACTCGAGTTCCGCCGTCACCGGAGCGTTCCCACGCCTCCACAGCCCGCCGCGGCGCCGCTCTAAACGGTAAACACGCCGACCGGCCGCCGCAGATGCCTAACGGTGCACAGCGGCGGCGCGCACGCAGCCCACGTGACGGCGGTCCATGCGCGGCACTGGGTCACCGCGGTCTCCGGGCGGCGCGCCGCCTGCCGTCTGCCGCCGGCGCCGACGCGTCGGTTTCGTCGGCGCGCGGTGTCGGGTGACCTCTCCGGGGTGTCGGGTAGCCGCTCCAGCGTCTGTACCGACGGAGGTCCGGCGGACGCGCGCGACTGCACTGCAGAGCCGAAACCGTCGTCTACCTCAGAAGAGCGCGCCGCCGAGCGCCTACCTGCAGCGCCGAGAGTCGCCGGGAGCACCGGCCGCGCTCCACGGCCCGGTCCGGCGCGGCCGCCGCCGCGGGCCGGGCGCACGCCGGCGTTCCCCGCGACTCTCAGGCGGGTTGACGACCCCGCGTGCCTCGCGTCGGTCAGGAGACGAAGTCGGCGCGGTCGGCGGTGGGCAGTTGGTCTGGGGACGTGTCAGACCGGCCGGACGGGGTCAGAGGATCACAGGAGCAGCCATCCGGCGAGCTGACCCGTGCGGCGGCCGTCCGTCCGTCCGGTACGGTACCGGACAGGTGTGGTCAGGGACCGGACCGCGGACCGGTAGTGGGGACCGCACCCGGACGTACCGGTGTGGGAACCGCACGAGGCGGACCATATCCTACCGGAGAATCGAGCGCTATAGTCATTAGTCTGGGATAAATAAACAGGTTGATAAGTAGGTATAGGCACGCATTTAAACAATTAGGCATTCAATTAAAACTGATGGTGACATGATTTAAGGGGCGAAACGGTGAATAACAAAAAACTTGAAACATCCATGGAAAAGCAGGGCAGCTGCAACGGCAAGATCAATACAATCACTCAGGTCAGTTACACTTGTTGCCTGTTTGGTACACGGCCGCTTCAATAGCTTACCAGTTACCATGAATAAAACATCAGTTCCTGAAAGACATCGTACACTGAGCAATGAGCGTGCCTTAGCATGCGCCTCGAACGGAGAGTGTGAGCGTAGAATGTCAACTAGCCAGGTTTCAATGTATGTGTGGCTGTTAGGTGCATAGACCAGCGCACAAAAGGATTTTTTTCTCAGCGGTGGCAAATGACGTCGTTGTAAAAAAAAATGATGAATTTGAACGAGAACCACTACCTTATGTATCCGATTATGGGACCAACCACGCCGTCAGTGTAGAACAGGACCGAGAAGCAGCACCTCAATGTTCAACACGTCTCGGATATTCGACATGAGCTCAATATACGGCAAACAGTCAAACGAACAGAACAACAAATTGCCCTTTTCCGCGTCACTTCAGCGTCAACAGCCAGCTTTGCACGCCTATGACAGCACTCAGCTTCTTACCCCAGTGCCGTCTGCAGTGCTCTGTGCAATTCTGTCCGTCCATCGCCCCGACTCGTATTCGCGAGTGTCTCCGTTTACGATCCCCTGATGATCAGATAACTCCGCGGCAGTCCATTAGGCCAGCCAACTGACACCCGATCACTGGGACCGTTTACAGCCTCGGTCCGTCTCTCCTCCCCTCCCCACCCTACTCCGGACTCCCTGCCCTGGGAGTGAGTACCCCCCCCCCCTCCCTCCCCAGCGCGCCGTGCCAATGTGGTTCGGCGGTCTGCCCCCGGGCCCGCCGTGCCGCTCGCCGAACCGTGCTGGCCGCCGCGCGATACGAAATACTGCAGTCCCGACGGCTATCTCATTATACGGCGGCCGGCGGCGCTCGATGCAGGACCATGCTGCGCCGGGAAGGCGTGGGCACGCGGCGAAGGTCAATGACAACGCAATGGGGCTGGGCGGGCGGCTGGGCTGAACGAAATGCCGGGCTGGGTGGGCGGCTGGCTGGGCCGGACTCGACCAACGCTGGCCGAGCTGACATTGTAGCTGGTGGAGACGAACTGTTGCTGGAGATTTGTAGGTTGGACGGGCGACTGTGACGCTCAAGAGTCTCAGTCGGACAAAACCAGAAAAGACGGTGGCCGACTATGAGCCGAACCCGAAAATGACTCGATAGTGAAGGCCGGCTACTGACTAGTGCAGCAAACTGGATGAATAAAAACCAACGATACGATAAACGGATGTGAAACTTGTCACCGCATCAGCATCGAATAAATACATAAATGAATCACAAGGAATTAATAAATGAACACACTAGTAAGTAAATGAATGAGTGAATGAATGTATGTATCAATGAATGAATGAACGCATAAATGAATACCTAAATGAATGAATGAATGGGCACATGAACAATGAATAAATGAATGAATGAATGAATGATGAATGAATGCGCACATGAATAAGAATGACTAACTAAATGAACGAGGTCACAAATGAATGAATCAACGAATGATTGAATACTCGATAGAATGAATTATCTGAGCATCCGTGCAAGCAGCAATGATTAAATATCGACGGGAAATAATGGAAACAGCAATCGGCACAAGATTGAGATTGGGGTTGACTTTGACTTGCTTTAATGAACATTCAACAGGCACTATCACATAAATGGCAGCGTAACCGACCGACACAAATATTCAGTATTTAGTCTCTATGCATTTCTCACCTGTGTTGAAAACAAATGCAAAACAATGACTGTTGCCGGAATCTTGTTTGTTTCCGGCACTGACTAACGAGCTTTCGCGAAAATAAATCGCATTTGTTTGCTGCTACCAGATTACTTCATCGCTGCCAAATTCCCTTCGGAGAAAAAAGGGCGAGAGTCGAGGATTGATCAATGAATTGATCAATGATCATATCAGAGTCGAATAGTGTAAATTGATTGTTATAATGCATCGTTTGTTGGATTTATATTATCCTCAGCCTGCAGAAGTACGACACGGTCAAGTACAAGTACGATGGTCATAGATACCTCGGGAACGGCTTCTTGACTTTAGCTTACCTACCTACCTAGTTCAGTTGTCACTAAATGAGTTGTCACTAAATGCTCACTCCTCATTGGTCATTTCACCCTGATGTGCTTTGCGTTTTGCGGTTTGGTCACTTTGCGCCATGGGTTTGCTAGCAGATGGGCTTTGTGCGGATGCTAACTGATAACAAATTCATTTATCGACGCTTTTTTTTAAATCCCACATCCGTTCTCTCGTGAATTTCCGGGAAGAACGTAACATCCCTTAAAGGTGTTAAATCATCCGAGCCCAGAGGCGGATCCAGCTCACAGGTTTGGGGGGGGGGGGGCAAACCATAACAATTTATCGATTCTTTCCATGCATCGTCCATAGGCGTAATGTTAAAATTATGCCGTTTGGGGGGGGGGGGGCAAATGCCCATTTTGCCCCCCCCCCCCTGGATCCGCCACTGTCCAAACCTGATCAAAATATGTGTATTCGTAAGCTTGTTCTGACACTACCTGGTCTGCCGAGACAGACAAACTGAGAAAAATCGAGTGACAGTACTTTTTTGAAAGTGTTATCCAACTTGTCGGAAATTTACGGGAGGACGGATAAGTGGGGTTTAAAAAACGCATCGATATAAATTAGTTGGGGTCAAAACAGCATTATATTGCAAACATGTATTTCATCATCCGCGTCGACGGATTACGGCTTCCAGATTTACTCGGGGTACGTATTGACCTGAAAGGTTATAATGGTAGGTACACGGACGCAAACGTACACAGCAAGCGCGAAAAGTTGGCGACAGTATCGCTGCGGATTTAACACTTTTTCACTCGACGCTGAGACCGACCTTTCGAAAAGAGTCGAGACTCGTACATTGGCGGGGAAAGTCGGTAACAGCACGAAATCGTAAACTGACCTCGGGTTGAATCCCTGACCAGCTATTTCGATACCTCACGTTGCATTGCAATGCCACGGCGTAATGGGTAGGCCTGAACGGAAACGACAAATTATGCTCGTCCAGCCGTCGCCGTATCACTTAGTAATGAATTATTGTCGTGAGCTAAACCACAAACGACCGAACGCTCTCTGCGGGCGATCAGGGTTTGTTTTCCGCGATGAACTTGTTGCCCTGTGTGAGCATGACCTTTCGGATGGCCTGCTGGCAGAGGTGGTAGTCGCGGTAGGGCGGGTACAGACACTGGTCCAGCCGGCTGAGGTTCGACATCAGCGTCTGCATCCCGCGCGTCAGCTCGCCCGTCTCCAGGTCCCGCATACCTGCCGGCAGGTCAGAGGTCACAGACAGGTCAGAGGTCACAGACGGGTCACAGAGGGGTCAGTGGGTCAGCTCGCCCGTCTGAAGGTCCCTCATACCTGCCGGCGGGTCACAAACAGGTCACAGTGGTCAACTCGACCGTCTGCAGGTCCCACATTTATTTGTACTGACGGGGCACAGGTCAGAGAAGGTCAGGGTAGGTCTCCAGGTCACCAAACAGAGAGGTTCAGGTCAGAGTCGGTCGGATCAAGTTTCCGGATAAATCATCACTGTCGACAGGACACGGGTCACAGGTGGTGTACGCACTGCAGGTCACGGGATCAGAATGGGTCAGTTGTGCCCTAACAACGTGATATCAATAGGTATCACCTCACGTCGTTCAGCTGAACTTACAACAAGTCGCCATAATGCCAACGTTAACGCTTTCGTGCTGGTTTTGGAATTTGTATGGCTTTAAAACAGCGACAACTCGGCTGTTTCCGTTCTGTGAGCAGCCTGCTCACCGGCTCTGTAGGCGGCGTCGGTGTCCTGCAGGACCTTGAGCGCCTTCATGATGTTGGTCTCGTGCCCGCAGTGCTGGCAGGTGAAGAGCGGCGTCATCGTCTCCGTGGAGACCGGCAGCGGTCTCTGCCGAGAACCCACGGCGCGGGTATCAGCCTCCGACTCAGGGATGGGCTCCCGATCAGTAATCGAGCGGCGCCCATTGGCGTAACTCGGAACAGGCGTAGGATGGCACTTATTTAATTAACTTATTAAAATGGTAATTAAAGCAACTGAAAACATCTCAACATCTCAATATAACCGGACACTGGGCGGTCGCCTCTGACTATGAGCGTCGGTACCTTGCAGGTGGTGCATTTGAACTTGAGTACCGAGTTGTCCATCTCCTCGAATGTGGGCCACATCTCCGTACACGGCGTGCAGTGACACTCAAACTCGTAACGTTCGCGCAGGTACTGAAACGGAAATTAAACACCTGCTCAAAAGGAAACTGGGTTAAGCAATAAGCGTTGAACATGTAAACGATTTTGACTGAACAGATGCCGAGGTCGTAGGACATAAATATAACTTATCAAATGCAACCGATAAAGTGGCACATCAACAAAGAGGCTGCAGCCTGAACGTTCTGTCCAAGGGTCTTCCTAAATGCTGTGCTAGACGCTGCCTGTCCACAACCGGCTCAATTGGGTCTTTTATAGATTAGCACATTAACAATCGTTCTATGGACAAAATCGTACCTGCAATCGCTCTCTGAGCGGCTTCTGCGTAAATATCGGACCGTAGTTTTCCGCTATGAGGTCTCCCTTCTCGATGTTCTTGATTGCACGAGCGATTACGTTGTTACCGCTGAAATAACTGCAACAACAGAGCAAAGCAATGAGGGTTAAACGAGAACTTCCTGATATGGCATGAAGGCGTGCAACGTGCACGACTAAATGCGCTGTTTTGTTTAAATGTTTTGGTTTATATCGTTAAACCATTTATAAGTTAACAAGTAAAGGAACCCACATAGAGTATAGCTTAGCCTTCTGAGCCTGTCGGCACAGCTGTTGCGTTTGGTACGGTCAATTCCCACCCTCCCGGCGCTCCGTCCGGCCGCGCTCGTCACTGACCGCACGATGCCCGGGTCGCAGGAGTGGTTGAAGAGCGCCAGCGTCGGGTAGACGGCCGCGCCCACGAACACACTCTCCGAGCCGTCCAGGTTGTTGTGGCCCTTCATGCGCAGTTCGGCCACCTCGTGCGCGTTGTAGGGCACCAGTTGAATGTGGTGCAGCAGCAGGCCGCCCACGAACCGGCGCCGGTCGTCCAGGACAGCGGTGTCCACCTCTGACAGGAGAGGGGGGGGGGATGAAAGTCGGATATGTTATTCACGGTTCAGGGGTCGTCCAGAAAAGCATAGTCCAACAGAAATTCATCCCGGCTGCTGAGCACCGATTTATTTTTCCCGGATATTTTACTGCTCACAATCGGCATTTTACTTCTCACCCGCTACACTCTCCCCGTCTCCCTCAGTTACCGCTCACCGTCTCCGAAGTAGCCCTGGAACTGCAGACAGCGCAGCATGAACACGGCCATCAGTGTGAGCGGGAACAGGGTCTCGGGTGTGCGCCGGTCGGTGTGCGCCACCAGCCGGTACACGGCGCCGTAGTCCTGTCCGCTGTAGGGCCCGGCCGGCGGCTGGCTGAGCCGCGGCCGCGCCGCCAGCAGCTGCTGCACGCTGAGCCGGGTGGTCAGCCGCAGCGACAGCAGACACGTCACGCTCATACCGGAGGCGTAGAGCAGCTCCTGGATACGGCACTCCACCCGGTGGTAGGAGCCCAGCGCCGCCTCGCGGCAGGGCAGCGAGCAGAACAGCACGCCGCTGCAGACCGTGCACGGCACGCAGTCGCGGATCCTGACAGCACAGGCACAGGGGGATGGGTGTGGGTGCATTTGGGGCCCGGTAATATGGTACATAATACGGTAATCCACACGGTACATCGGCGGAATCGGCGATCCACGGATCGGGAGAATGATTGGCGGGGGATCGTCACTCGTGCAGGTTTGTGACAAACAGCGCAAATATTACCCATTCTGTCAACGAACATACCAGTGGAGGCGGTTTTTCGCATTCATTATGCGGTGAGGCGGTGTTAATTGTTCCCGTGTTACCTGACGTGGCAGTGCAGGCAGTGGGTGCCGTATTTCTGTAGCGTTACCTGACGTGGCAGTGCAGGCAGTGGGGGCCGTATCTCTGTAGCGGCAGTTACCTGACGTGGCAGTGCAGGCAGTGACATTGTATTTCTCTGGTGATGCCGTCAGTATTGTTCCCGTGTTACCTGACGTGGCAGTGCAGGCAGTGGGGGCCGTATTTCTGTAGCGTTACCTGACGTGGCAGTGCAGGCAGTGACATCATATTTCTGTGGTGATACCGTCTGTATTGATCCCGTGTTACCTGACGTGGCAGTGCAGGCAGTGTGTGCCGTATCTCTGTAGCGTTACCTGACGTGGCAGTGCAGGCAGTGTGTGCCGTATCTCTGTAGCGTTACCTGACGTGGCAGTGCAGGCAGTGGGTGCCGTATCTCTGTACTATTACCTGACGTGGCAGTGCAGGCAGTGAGTGCCGTATTTCTGTAGCGTTACCTGACGTGGCAGTGCAGGCAGTGAGTGCCGTATCTCTGTAGCGTTACCTGACGTGGCAGTGCAGGCAGTGAGTGCCGTATCTCTGTAGCGTTACCTGACGTGGCAGTGCAGGCAGTGAGTGCCGTATCTCTGTAGCGTTACCTGACGTGGCAGTGCAGGCAGTGTGTGCCGTATTTCTCCGGTGATGCCGTCTGTATTGTTCCCGTGTTACCTGACGTGGCAGTGCAGGCAGTGGGTGCCGTATCTCTGTAGCGTTACCTGACGTGGCAGTGCAGGCAGTGAGTGCCGTATCTCTGTAGCGTTACCTGACGTGGCAGTGCAGGCAGTGAGTGCCGTATCTCTGTAGCGTTACCTGACGTGGCAGTGCAGGCAGTGGGTGCCGTATTTCTGTAGCGTTACCTGACGTGGCAGTGCAGGCAGTGGGTGCCGTATCTCTGTAGCGTTACCTGACGTGGCAGTGGAGGCAGCGGGTGCCGTATTTCTGTAGCGTTACCTGACGTGGCAGTGGGGGCAGTGGGGGCCGTATCTCTGTAGCGTTACCTGACGTGGCAGTGTAGGCAGTGAGTGCCGTATCTCTGTGGTGATGCCGTCTGTATTGTTCCCGTGTTACCTACCTGACGTGGCAGTGCAGGCAGTGGGTGCCGTATCTCTGTAGTGTTACCTGACGTGGCAGTGCAGGCAGTGGGTGCCGTATCTCTGTAGCGTAGCGTTACCTGACGTGGCAGTGCAGGCAGTGGGTGCCGTATTTCTCGGGCCGGAGGACGGCCGCGAACGGCTTCTCCACCACGAGAACGTCTCCGACGGCCACCGGCTGGGCGCTGACGGCGAACCGACCCTCCTCGGCAGTCTCCCGCACTGCCACCTGTCGGCCAGAGGCGGAAACTCAGCGGCCCGAGTGGGGCGCGGAATGGGAGGCAGGTGCAGCGCCCGTATATCCATCCAGTGACTACAAATGCTGTATACTTACGTCACTAGCCGATCAAATGCATTTGTTTGTACTTCGCGGTGCAAAAAGAGGGGAGAAGTAAAAATATTCAAAATATAACATTTTATTATAAATCGTCGTCGACAAAAGATTGTAATAGCAGAGCGCCGGCCTTGTATCGATTATGTTGTCCGTTATGGACAATGTTGTACCGACTTTGATACATCGTGACGGTAAACGTACGCAGCCGAGTGGGTCGGTTTCTCACCTTTTTGGACGCTGCCGGGTACATCTGGTTGGCTCCGGCGGTGAGGGACGGCAGCGGAGGGAGCCAGCTGTGCGGCTGGGGGTCTGGAACACGGCCGGCCGGGAGTGAGGGCGGGGCGGGGAGGGGTGCATCATCATTGTCGCTCTGTGTTGTACGCCAGGAATGACCATAATGACCAAAGTGGACAAACTTATTATTCGAAAGCGAAGAGCTTCTACGTATTGCGCTCATACCGACGAATATCTCGAACAGCACCAAATCTATTATCAAAATGTTCTGCTCAGCTTCCATTTAAAAACCACTATGCTATTTATGCACAATGTGCTCTACAGCTGTGTTTACCCACCGGCGTCGGTGTACTTGCTCTTCTCGAAGAGCGCCAGCATCTTCTGCACCTCCTTCTGCCAGTGCATCTGCTTGCCGTCGCCGAGGCTGGCGTCGTCCAGTGCCTTGATGACGCTCTGGAAGGCCGTCTTGGCCTCGGTGAACCGCCTCAGTGCCATCAGACTGCGGGCGCGCCTGGGGAGCGGCAGGGGTCCCCACGGGGGGGGGGGGGGGGGTACATACGTCAGTTGCGACAGGAGACTGAGGAGCGCGACAGAGGACCCCGGGAGGCACGTCAGCGGCAGGAGAGGGCTGCAAGCGGAATTACTCTCCTAAAGAATTGCAAGCGGAATTATTGACATGCAAATAACGTGCAAATGAATAACCGTCTCTGTCGAAGAACCGTCTCACCTGTCGAGCACCTTGTAGCGGAGCGCGGTGGGGTAGCCGGAGAGCAGCGCCAGCTCGATGTCGGCCAGGCAGCGCTGGTGTTTTCCCGTGTGGTAGAGGCAGGCAGACCGGTTGGCGGCGCACACCGCCACCAGCTCGCTGACGCCGTCTGGGGACAGACACGCGTCAGCAGGTCACAGCAGGTCAAATGGCACACAGCAGGTCACACCGCCACCAGCTCACTGACGCCGTCTGGGGACATGGCGTCAGCAGGTCACAGCAGGTCAAGTAGCACACAGCAGGTCACACGGCCACCAGCTCGCTGACGCCGTCTGAGGGGGGGGGGGGGGAGGGGGAGACACACGTCAGCAGGTCACTGACACCGTCACGCCATCAGCTCGCCGACACTCGCCCCTCCCCGCCACTCGCTGCTCACCTTTGTACGGCGCCTTGGCCATGGCCTGGCTGTAGCAGCGCATGGCCGCCGGGTAGTTGCCCTCGGAGAAGAGTTTGTTTCCCTCGTCCTTCCTGGCCCGGGCCTCGGTCTCGTCCTTCTCCTTGTAGACGTGCTGCAGGGCCACCTGGCGCACCTCGGGCAGCTCGTACACGAAGGCCACGCGCTGCTCGTCCGAGCTCAGCGCGCAGAAGCCCGTCCACTGGTCGGCGCTCAGGCTGCGCATCACAGACTGGCTGAACGGCCTGAAGAAGCCGGCCCGCTCCTCGTCCAGTTCCGGCCGCTCCAGAGGCATGGCGGCGGCGGCAGCGACTCCGGGTAGGTGCCAGTCAGAAGCGGGACAACGGTCGGACAGCTCAGGGCGGCAGGGACTCCGGGGAGGTGCCGGTCAGGAGTGGGATCACGGTCGGACAGCTCAGGTTAGCACAGACGGTCTTGGAATACCACTCAGGCGCTCTGTGCCTGTGGTCTCACTCACACTTAGCACAGGACCGCAATTCACAGCCTTCCGCAGGTCACTAGCCGACTCAGACCAAACCAACAACAGGCTATCACTGAGTCCGACGCAAAGTCTGACCACGTTCTCCTCAATAAGCGGCTGCCGACGACTTCGGGAGCGTTCTGCTATGCTCGCCTCGTCCTACCTGAACCGAAGCTGGAAGTACGACGCAGCCGGTGCGACGCTGCTGGGCCCCGACGAGCGCGACGCGACGCGACGGAGCCACGAGCTGTCGGCGGCACGCTGGGCAGCGAGCCAGCGGCCATCGGCGTGGGGCGCTCCTCGCCACTGGAGGTGCAGCTCGAGACGGCGGTACGCTGAGCAGCAGACGAGCTGCAGGTACTGAGCAGCGGGAAAAAGGAGAGGTAAACAACTTAGGTACGGTGCAATCATGGTCTGCAGGAAGCATAACAGCGTCTCATCTAGGTGATCTGAGAGGATGCCTACACATAATGTCTTCAATTTGCATGTCGTCAGCGCTCTGCATAACTTGATCCTCAGGTGTGTATTTTTGGAACAGCAAGGAAGTGAAGGCACCACTCAGCATCTGGCGAGGGAGTAAAAACTACCGTTATCAAACCACCCGACAGATGGCAGGACCTGTACCATTGGCCAGTCCATTGCGTGCTGACGTACCGCCGCGGCCCTCGCACGGAAGGGTCGTGGGCGACACGCGACCCTGCGTCTATCTGTCAGGCCCGGGTCTGAAATAGCCTCGAACGGGGTTAACGGCATGCAGATCAACTTCGCTAGCCAATCCGATAAAACAGCGAAACGAGTTACGTCGCTCCAGAGACCTCCAAAGCACAATACGGTCATGTGACTCATGCATGAAGTGTCATGCACGAGTCACACATTAGTCAGTTGAATAATGCGCCCCATTGACTTTACATCCAGTTCAATAGCTATCGTGGCGTATCTCTTAGTTTTGATCACACCCGAGGTCACCAGTCTTCTTTTTTCGGTACGCGAGCGAACAGATGTCCGTCAATCTAGCAGCATTGATATTCGCGAATCTGCTGCTGGCACCCAGACATTCTGCCTGGCCGAAGATGCTGCTCTGGCAGCGAACTCGCCGAATTTCTGTCTACCAGCAGCAGATTCGCGAATATCAATCTGCTGCTAGAATGACGGACATAACAAACAGCCATCTTCAGCGGTAGGCAAGCACCACAATTGTCCAGCGTTATGGCCTGGTCGGACGCATTTTCCAGCGATTACATCAGCCCGCTGTCTGCAGGACGACTGCCAACACCCCTCCCCCTCCCGCCGGGCACATGACCACATAACTCCCACCATGGCACCTCTAGGGCGTCAGTAACCACAGTACCTACCACCAAACAGCGAGCGATTTGTTCAGCACCTGTATTCCTGTTCAGACACAGCGCATACCACTCGGCTCCTCTCACGTTAGACACACACATGGCAGGAAACAGCTCATCCATAGTAATGGACATGATCATCATATCATTTCTACATAGTGGGGTGCGGCCGGGCGGGCGGCGGCGCCGGGACTGCACAGTCTCTGCCGCGCCCGCCGCAGTGCGCGCACCAATATAACACTCGGCCGGGCGCCCATATTGCTCTGTTCCGGCGGCGGCTCGCCCTGTCGGTCCCCTGTCGTCCGGGCGGACTCGGGCGGTGCGCCGCGCTCAGACTCAAACCCGTACAAATCAGCAGTCCTCGGCCGGCCCGTCCCCCTCAGAGCAGGCGGGCGCGCCGCGGCTCGGCACGCGCCGCCGCGGTCCACGCGAGCGCGCCGCCACTTCTCCGGAGCGCGCCGCGCCGCACCAATCAAAAATAAATATCAACGCCTTCAAAGATCACTAGCCGGAAAACAGCTCACGGAGCGCCGGCGGCGGCTCGTCCACCACGGGCGGAATCTGCCGCCCGCCGCCCGCCCCGGCACCGTCCAGTCTCGCGCGCGGGCGGCGGCGGCACCGGCGGCGGCAGCTAGGTGGCCGGGCCGCCGGCTCCGGGCGGCGGCGGCTGCGGCGCGGCCGGGCCGCCGGCCGCCGACTGGGCGGGAGCGGGCGCGGGCGCGGCGGCCGGCGCCACGGCGGGCGGCGCGGACACCGCCGCCACAGAGGCCGGTACGGACGCCACCACCGAGACGGAGACGGGCGGCGGCGGCGACGGCGCCAGGCTGGGCACCGTCTCCAGCTGAGCCAGCACCTGCGGCGACGCGTTGCTCTTGAGCACCTCGTTCTCGCGCTCGAGGGCGCTGATCTTGTCGACCAGTTTGGAGATGTTGGCCTTGAGGACGTCCACCTCCTCCCTGACTGCCAGCAGCAGGTGTGACTTGACCAGGTCCTGACGGGCACACGGACAGACGTTAGAACTCAGAGACGGCGTACAGGCGCACACACACAACACAGTGTGTACGACGATCGTCTGTGAAAGTAACTATAGTAGCTAAGCGAAACGACTCTTCACCTAACCGCTTCTCATTACAATCACTACCGTAAAGTGGGGCTATTTGAGACAGTGGGGCTATTTTAGACAGTATTTAAAATCGCTATAAAATGAAGATCGTTTGATTTTTGTGTAATATTTTTGCTCAGGGAGGTGTGGAATCGAGCAGTTAATCGCCTGAGCAAAAAATTAAGCATTAATTTTAAGTGGTTTTTATTTTATAGCAATTTTAAATACTGTCTCAAATAGCCCCACTGTCTCAAATAGCCCCACCTTACGATATCGATATTGCCCCTCTATCCCCCCCTGACACATACTCCAAGCTGAACAGAGTTCCAACACGGTAGAAGCTCGCGCTACGATAACCCTATCATCTCTGGAGGACCGTGTGAGATTCGCGCCCGGCAGGAGCTGGCCAAGCACCACACAGAACGACAGTCGCCAGTGCCCAGATCAGCGAAGGACCGATACATCCGCCCAAGGGCGCACACAAGGGGGGGGGGGCACACGGGCCCGTGCCCCCCCATTCGAGTTGGGGGGCCCAACTCGAAGGAAGGGGCCCATTTGAGGCGGCCTTCGGCCGCCTCAAATGGGCCTCTAACTAATCCTTAGACTACCGAAGACCGTGTACAAAGGGCCCTAAAATGGCCTTAAAGGGCCCTCAGATGTCTCAAAAGGCCCTCAGATGGCCTCGAAGGGCCCTCAGTTAGCGTCATAGGGCCCTAATCTGTTGTCAAAGGGCCCTTAGATGGTGTCAAAGGGCCCTCAGATGGCCTTAAGGAGCCCTCAGATGACCTCAAAGGACTCTCAGATGGCCTTAAAGGGCCCTCAGATAGCCTCAAAGGGCCCTCAGCTAACGTCAAACGGACGTCAGAAGGCCTTAAAGGGTGTCAAAGGTCCCTGAGCTGGCGTCAGAGGGCCATGCCCTTGCGTCAAACGGCTCTCCGAAGGCTCTAAAGAGTCCTTTGCTGGTGACAGAGGGCCCCCAGCTGGTGCCAGATGGCCCCCAGCTGGCGCCAAATGGCCATCAGAAGGTCTCAAACGGTCCTCAGCTGGCGTCAAGCGGCCCTCAAAAAGCCTCAAGGGCCCTTAGAAAACCTCAAGGGGCCCTTAGAAGACCTCAAGGGCCCTCAGAAGGCCTTAAAGAGCGTCAAAGGGCCTTGAGCTAGCGTCAGAGGGCCCCCCAGCTAATGCCAGAGGGCCCTGAGCTAGCGTCAAACTTAAAGTGCCCTTAGCTTGTGTCAGAGGGCCCCAGTTGGTGTCAGAGGGTCATCCATTGGCGTCTAATGGCCATCAGAAGGCCCAAAAACACGATCCTCAGCTGGCGTCCAACGGTCCTCAGCTGACGTCAAGAGGCCCTCAAAAGGCCTCAAAGGCCCCTCGACTGCTCATAGGGCCCTTAGAAGGCCTCAATGGGAACTCAAGAGACGTTAAACGGCCCTCAAAAGGCTTGAAAGGGCCCCCTGCTGATGGCAAAGGGCTCGCACCTGAGTCAATAAGAGCCTTGTCAAAAAACGGACCTGAGAAACCTTGCCGGCCCTTCTGCGGGACTCCTACACTTACCGGAGTGGCCCCCGTTTACTGAGGGGCCCTGGTTATTGATGGGGTTCCTCGTTACTTAACGCCTGGTTACCAGGGGGGCCCATGGTTACCTGGTGGGCCCCTGATCAATTGAAAACCCCTGGTCATCTGAAACGCCCCTGATTACCTAAAGGGCCCCTAATCACTTGGATTCAGTGACATAGCAAGGGAGCGAGGGGGTACGTGCCCGTTCTCGGGTTTAGGGTTCCTTCAAAACCGAGGGCCCTGCGGCGCCAGTTGGTAGCAGAGGGCTCGCGCTGGCCGCACTTCAACTCGGAAGGACACCACAGGGCTTGTGGGGGCACGCTATTGGCTCCTATTTAGCCACAATTATCTTCATAAAGGCCCAATGCCGGTTTCTGAGAGACCTCGCCGGCCGCTCAGGGCCCTAGTAACGGCCAACGAGGGATTGGCTGCTATGGCTCTACATCCGTCTGTGATAGACACACGGTCCACACCAGTGTTTCTAAAGGCACCCACAACGGCAACTGCGAGGCCCCTCGCTTCACCTCCAAGGGACCCCCACCAGCGCATCTTAAGGGCCTACATCGGCGGCTCTGAGAGTCCCCACATCGACGCCTCTGATGGCCACGTACCAGTGACTCTGAGGGCCTCTTAGCAGCCTCCGAGTGTCCTTGCCAGCCTATGACGGGCCACTTTCCACTTGCAGGCCATTTTGCAGGGCCACACACATGCCAATGATGACCCCACCAGTGTCTTTAAGCCCTAAGACCCCGCAACGGCGCCTGTGAGGACCCAACACCAGCGCATCTGACGGCCTTTCACTGGCACCTCTGAGCGCGCCACACACCGGTGACTCTGAGGAGCTCGCTCGCTTCGCTCGCTCGTAAAATACCATGTAAATTAGGCATTAGTGTACATGAGGCACACTCCTCGGGCATAAATGATACTTTTGCCTGCCGATTTTCCACATTTTCTCATGCAAAGACCGTTTTAAAGAGACCCGTCTGCCAGTGAGACTGGACCCACCGTGCCTTCCTCCTCCCATGGAAAGGTCCTGGATACATCCTTGCCTGAGCTAACCCCGGGCCACCGGGTGACTCGCGGGCCCGGGGTTCGCGAAAAAAAAGCTAAAAAAAGCATGCTAGCGTAAAAATATATATTATATATGTTTTGAAAATTAAGCTGGTACCGAAATAATTGTTTTACCTACCATGCATTGACAAACCAATTGCTCAAGCTTCAAACCAACCGAAATATAGCCCCGTGGGCCGTATTTTTTTGGGGGGGGGGGGGGCCCTTCGGCATGGGGGGCCCAGTTCGAAGGTCGTGCCCCCCCCCATTCAAAAATCCTGTGTGCGCGCCTGCATCCGCCACGAACCCGCTGCGCAAAATGTGGAGCTCAACAACGTAGAGCGAAAGGCGAGCACACACCAGGAAGATGTAAAACGGCGCGCTATCTGTGATGGAATAGTGAATCTCCGCCGCAGAGCTCTGTGGTTACCACTGAGTCAGACGGGCAGTCTGGAACTGTCTGTGGTGGCCCGCCGCCGCGTCCAGCCTCACGTCCGGTGTCTGTCCGCCGTGTCCCGTCTCACGTCCGGTAGCCAGGGCTCACCGAGGCCGGCTGGCCGCTAGTCAGGAGACTGCTACACGGAATTCCTGGATTACCACACAGCGCCGCCCGGCCCTGCTTCAGCGCAGACACCGTCCACTCGGGACCGACAGAAGTCTAATGGCGCGGTGTGTGGCGCGCTTTGAGCCGGACCGTGCTCGGAAAGGCAGGTGTCCAGTTCCACGGCATCCTACCGGCTGACTGGTCAGCTGTTCACAGAAAGCAGCGGATGTTTGCTGATGCTGATCTAAGCTGCCAAGCGCTGGCCCAGCATCCACTAATGGAAATAAACGCAGTCACATTGGATCTCAAATTGAAATACGATCCCTTCAGTAGTGAAGACTGAAAAAAAACAGCTATCAAGAACGAAAGAACGGAACATTTACCAAATTAGTGTCAACGAAGAACAAAAAGCTCGTCCTGTTTCTTGTTAACACTGCCGCTGGTAAAAAAAACGACATTCGTGACCATCCAATCCAAGCAGGAATCGAATTAATTCGCTATCACGAGCTCGCCGCGTGTATGGACTAGGCTGGAGCACCTGACGGGCAGCGTTCAGCTGAGTGTGTGAACACGTGTCCACAGAACTCCCAGAGTCGGTCGATGGTACTGCGGTGGGCAGCCGGGGAGGGGTGGGGCGCGCCCGGGTGAAGGAGCGGGGCGCGCCCGGCGCCGCAGGGCAGGGGCGGAGCGCGGCCCGGCTGGAGACGAGACGATCGCACCCCATCAGTGAAGTGTAAACACTCCTGAGCATTTTCTCGTCAGTTCCAGGATTTCACCCCACCTAGAATTCTGACAGACCGGTTGCCATGCAAGTATTCGGGTCCGATACCACATATTTCATGTGACTCATGTCCCGTCAAAAGACTGTCAGCAGCGGGCCGGGACGGCTATCAGAGGAAAGGGCACTACTAATTATTAATCAGACTAACATCAGACACATACCTATTAACTATATAAAAACTCACACACATCATCGCACAGAGACGCACCGAACCTGACCACGCCCTCGCCCAGAGTCTACCATTAACCCGCGCCCGAGTATGAGCCGTCGGACGTCTGTCCGGACGGTACGCACCTCGTCATCCACCAGCACGTAGACGTGCTCGTCCACCAGCTTCACGTCAAACACCATTGACGTCTTACGGCGCGGCCGGGCCGGGAACGAGCCCGCTGACGGCACATTTCCGCACACCAGCATCGCTCAGCGCCGGGGCACAACGGGAACCAGCGACAGCCGAGAGAGGAGAGGGCGCACACCACCGACTCGAGGACCGACTGGAGCGAGCCACCCGCGCCCGAGGCAGTCGTGACCCGACCCGGTGTGTCGGAGCGGCGTCTGGATGGCGACTGGCCCCGCGGGCCGCCGCGCGGGCGCCGCTCCCCTGCCGCCCGACCGCCAGATGGCGCCCGGCAGCGGACGGACGGACGGCGCGCCAAGCTGTCTGGGCCGCCGCCGCCGCCGCGCCCGTCGGATCTGGGCCGCACGGCTCGTGTGCCGCCCCCGCCAGACACCGCGACTGCCCCGGTCCGGTCTCCACAGGACCGGAGCGGTAAAACGTCCCTGCCCTGTCGCCCGTCCTTCGCTGGTGCCGGGCGGATGGACGAAAGTGACGAGCTCGGGGTAAACATTCATCTGCTGGACTGTCTCCCTCGCAGCACTGCTGAGTCTGTCACCTCTCCCACAAAGACAGCTCCCCAGTCCCCACTGAGCTAGTGCCCCCTTCTCCGCCGCCACCTGTGCCGTGGGCGGCTTCCCCATGACAACAGACTGTGCCAACGGCGGGGGGTGGGGGGTCGTTTCGCCGAAACCGGCGGTGCAGGTTGCGTATCGGGGCCAGAGAGGGGTCGCCGCCGGGTCAGAATAGCTCCTCCGACCCACCGGGGAGTGGGCGGCACGCGCCATCATGACTGGCATGACGCGGATGGCACAGAGACGGGGCCGGCCCGGGGTCAGGTCAAACCGGGCCGGGCCGGCGCACGGCAGGCCAGACGGACAGCTATTTTAGCAGCGCCCACCCCATCCTGGTCCGCACGGGCGCCGCAGCTCCCCATACAAGGCCGGCCGACGGCAGAGCCAGCCAGCCGGACGGACTAATCTGCGCTTATTAAGGACACGTGTACAGAGTGTACCCCCGACAAACGGCCCCTGCAGTGGGGACAGCGCCGCAACGACGGACAAGAAACGGTCGTTGTTCCGAGCGACGGCCACACAACGTCGACCTAATTACAGTCACCTTGTTAACGACAGTTTCTTCTTCTGAACGAAAATATTGGGTACAAAATATTTTGCGAAAAGTGCAGCAAGATAATAGGACAACAGGCTTTGAATTAGGTTACCTTAAAAGACCAGACAACATAGACACTGCGACCTTGAAAGCGATGGATAACAATCTAGCTTTTTTAGCTAATAGGACGGCGTACCGTAATGATCGATGTCCCTTAGGAATCCAGGGTAAAACATCAGCGTAATTATGGTACGCCGACGAAAGCGATTGTCTGAAGGTCACAGATCACACGTATAGATCCTTTGAAATATGAGGACGAGAATAACATAGGACGACTTCAAAGGCATACTATAGAACTAAGCGCTCGAACCGAGGGACACAGTTGTAAATGGTGAATAGATTGCATTTTCAAGTGTCCTGAACCTAAAGGTTTAATTCCCATTTCAGCAGTCAAGCCCAGTTCTGCCTTTCCATAGCTATTAGCTACGTCACTCATTTACCCCTTGAAATAGCCCTCCAGGCTCCTCTGCAATACCGCCAATCTCTGCCCAACACGGCCCCTCACGCAGAGCGACCGACTCTGTCTTGTAGCAGGACGTGCGTGGCTCGGGAAAGTGGGTCGGGAGGACGCCCCAGGGACGGCCAAGGCCGCCGCTGCCGCCCGGGGGAGGAGAGGAGAGGAGGGGAGAGGAGAGGAGAGGAGGGGAGGGGAGGAGGGGAGGAGGGGAGGGAGAGGAGGGGAGATCGATGGTCCCACTGGATGCGAATAGGCTGCGTATGCTGCCGGGGACGGCCCGCGGGAGGGGCCTAGGGACGGTCGGCCGTCCGTGATGGTAAAACAGCGGCGGCCGCAGAGCAGCGGGGTCATCAACAAGGCGGCGCGCCACACAGAGGAGACAGAGCGAGCAACATCATCATATCTCAGAGACCGAGATGGAGACGTCCACTCAGGGAGCACCGGATTATGGTAATACGAGACGGGTGGTGGCCGGTCACCGCATAATTCGGACCATGACACATTCAGGTGACGCATGATACAAAATGAGTTATTCAGTGATAAAGGACAGAATCTGTAAAAGCTACGTCACCTTGTGATAAATATGAATTTATCGACGACTGCACGGCCCAGTGATAACATAACTGCATAGCCCAGTTATGTTCCAATGACCCGTTCCGCTGAGGAAGAACGAAAAATATGCTATATCCATTAACTAGCTCTTCGTAGACCTGGCAAATCAAACCTCTATTTAATTATCGCTCTCCATATTTATAATGGCTAATCAGACAGGTGCAACGTTCGAGCCTGCCACCAGGCAATGACACATCGCCGCCTATATGACATCAGACAAGGAAATGACGTCATACATCCTCCTCAGCCTCCAATCACGTCCGAAGACTAACCCACGTCTCACGTCAGGAGATCGCCGCGGTGGGTGACATCACAGGGTGAGGTCACACCTTGGTTATGACGTCACACACCACACTCAGGTGACGCCGTTCCCGCTGCTATGGTCGTGTCTGATGGCCTCAGCCGCTCGCCCCGGCCGCCATTACACCGGCTCACCGAGAGCGGCCGGAGCCGGGCCCGCATCACGGACCGCCGAGAACAAAGCCACTCATCGTCAGCTCTGAGCGCCGGGCTGCGGTAGGCGCCGTACAGACAGCCGGCTCGGCACGGCCGCCGGCCATCGACCGGCGATATTTCCCAGTGCCAGGGAGCAATGGCTCAGTGGCACTGGCTTCGGGGCCTCTCCGGCGCCCCTGTAACGTCAGCTGACCGAGGGTCCGTCGGACGGCGCACGGAGGGCGGAGCCACCACCCCGTGATCACGGCAGTCCGAGAGAGGCAGCCGCACGCAACGCGCAGCGCGCGGCAGAGAGAGGACGATAAAAACACGCCCCGAAACCGGCCGGCGGTCACGCGATCCAGAGAGGGGTTCAGCCGAGCCGCCGGGCCCGGCCAGAGTCGGTACCGTGACCGGCCCTGAGCCACGGGGACCAATACGTCAACGAACACCCGGAACTGACAGCGGTCTCGGCACACGTCCCGTGGCCGTAATCAGGGTACGACACGCTACGAGAGGTCACGTGAGGCTCGTCTCGGCAAAAACGTCCCTGCAGCGGACGCGACGCGTAGCCGCGATTATGATCTGCTGCGCTGATCGCACTGATTGGGCATCGATCGCCGATAATGGTCCACCCGGCACTGACGGCAATCACTGACACCGACTGCACCGGCAGAAACTGGCGCCGACTGCAGAGGACAGGCACCGCCGGCAACCGCCGACGCTGGCTGCAGCGGGAAAGGATCGGCGACAATCACTGACACTGACTGCAGAGGGCAGGAACTGGCACCGACTGCGGCCGGCAGGGAAAGGACAGACGCCTCACACACACCGCGCGGTGATTCCCGGCCACCCACTCAATGCGCCGGCACAGCCCTCTGACCCTCCGCCGAACTCCCTCACCCACTCACCATTGCCTGTTCGATTTTGTTGTCGATCGGCTCCGTCTTCTCGACGGCGCCGGAGCTGCCCGGCGAGGTGCTGCAACACACGGGAAGGGGCGCACAGTCAGTCGTCAGTCGGCGCGGCACAGATGGCAGGGAGGCCATACAGGGGCAGCGGGAACTCCGCAGCAGGCGGCAGCGGCCGCACAGGAGACACAGGGCACAACACGGCGGGCGGCAGGGCTCGCACAATCTACAGAGGGCACAACCAAGCGGCAGCAATTAGTTGATACGGGCCGTGATTCTGAAACAGCAACCCAGCGGGCGGCGGCTCCGGTAGATAGCCCGTTCGATTCTCGTGTGGAATGCGGGCCATGTCCGGCCGCTGCAGTGACCTTTACGATAAAGCCGATGGCATTGCCCGTAAAGCTAACGTGTGAGGTTGCGCACTCGGGTTCCGGAGACACTAAGTCCCCGGATCCCCGGACTGCCACGGCAGCTGAATCGGAAGGCGGCACCTACTGCTGAGGACAGCGGCGGGCGCCACAGCTCGCCTGCCGCGGCGCCTAGCACCAGGGGGAGGCTGAGCAGAACAGGTGGCCCGGTTTGTTTGCGTGCACTGTGAACTATGCAGGAAATGTTCAGCAGTGGCGGTGATCCATGGGGGTCAGGGGTCCGAGGGGTCGCAGCCACCTGGCACCGAGCGGAGAAATGAACTCCTGTGTGCTGGTCACCCTCGTCCGAGAGCGTCCTCCAACGCTGGGTCCAACGCAACTGTCGGACCATCTCCCGACATCAACCGGTGGTATCTGGCGAAACACCGGCGGGTGCCAGCGCCGCCCTGTTCCCCGTCCCCTACTTCGGCACGCGGGAGAAGGCCCGGCCTCCTCTGCCAGCCAGTGCAGCGGCCGATCGCCAACGGAAAATCACACCACTTGTAGAGCAATCGCAGCGGACCAGCCGACCTGGAACGAGTCTGAATCGCAACGGGTCATTGACGGGAATAAAGCAAATCAAATTTCCACAGAGATCCCAAATAATCGAAAACTCATGAACCGTGAAAACGGAATGAGTTTTCTGCCGAGAGCAAAGTTTTGATCGTCCCGGACCGAGTGAGATGAACTTCCTGCTAGCTTTGATCAAAGTTAAAAGCTGTCGGAAACTACAGGGAATGAAACTGACATCCTCTGGAAGCTGAAATGTCAAATCTAAATCAACAAATGACATTTCACTCACCAAAAGCCAGCGACGGCGTATTTAAAAATAAGCACCTACTAAATGCAATAGCAGTTGCGCTAAATGGAGCAACCAATACATGGTACAATATTGACACTAACTACAATGCAGCCTATTTGTAACACCATCTCCACTTCCGGCCGTCCACAAGTGTTGGAATCGTGGACAATTGTTTGACCTCGTCTAGCAAATGCTTCCCAAATCGTCCGACCTGTCCATTTCCTCCCGTCTGAAGCCATCCAACGTCGCACCGTTTCCCGCCTAGCTAGAGGTGCCTGACCTCTGACCGTGACCCGTATGACCTCTCGTCGTTTCCCGCCTAGCTAGAGGCGCCTGACCTCTGACCGTGACCCGTATGACCTCTCGTCGTTTCCCGCCTAGCTAGAGGCGCCTGACCTCTGACCGTGACCCGTATGACCTCTCGTCGTTTCCCGCCTAGCTAGAGGCGCCTGACCTCTGACCGTGTCCCGTCTGACCCCTGGTCGCCTCCCGCCTACCTGTACCCGTCCAGGCCATCTGCGCCGTCCGAGGGGGGCGTCGGCACCGGCTTCATGTCAGCAGTTTCCTGACCAACGCTCATCAACGACAGCTGCTGTACCAGCTCAGGCTTCATCGCGACACTTATCTCACGGAGAGTAGAGATCCACTCTTTTCACATATATGGTGCAGAGATCCAGATTTCTCATAGGGGACGCAAAGGTTCAGCTCTCACAGCGGGCGCAAAGATCCACTTCTCTCACCAGAGAGATCCACTCCCCCATCGAACACAGAGAGAGATCACTCAGACGGGCGACGGTCTGGAATTCACCTCACCCCAACACACGTCAGGGCCGCCGGCCAGTGTCGTCGGCCCCATCCCGCCGCGTGTCCCGCGGTCAGCGCGGCCGGGCTGGTGGCGGGCCGGCGCCGCACCGCTCGGCTGACCCGACCCCACACTGCCGCCGGCGGCGGACCGCGGTCGGCGCGCAGCCCAACCATCGATCGACGACCGGCCGGCAAGGTCGGAGACGCAGCCCGCAGACGCACAGCACAGCGGGGAGGACGGACAGACTATTTCTGACATACACACGACGCGACCCTCCACGGCCGTGTGACAGAGGCGCGGCCCCTCTACGGCCGTGAGACACACGTTGCGGCCCCGGTCGCTGAGATCTGATAGAGAAACAGACATGGCCGTAGGATTGGCCTCTTCCCACAGTGACACGCCCACAGATAGGTACCGCCGTAATGAAATCAGCCGAGAAACGTAGTGGACGTGCCACCGAGCGCTATAACATACTAAACATTCGATGATGCAGGAGACAGCAAATAACTCAACCAATTGCCGAAGTCAACCAGCTCAACGAATTAAAAACGGTGACGAGAAGTGAGAAGCTATGTTTGAAGTCCACAAAGCTACATCACATGAAGTGAGCTGTATTGAATAAAACATCCCATGATGGGATATGAATAAATCCATTTCGATGAAACGAGCACTGCCTTTTTAGCGTCCAAGAAATGCATAGGTCACCATCATAAAAGTATCTTTCATGAAACATCATTTTTCATCGAATGTCTTTGCCAGGCGTTTCCAAGTCGGTTCAGTTTACAACAAACAGCTCGAAAAGATACATCTGGAATGGTTCCAACTCATTACAATATCCACCACCGTTACAGCGCTGTAACGTTCCAGTCTCCTTATTCAGCGGTCGGAGTGTAGAAGCCCGGGAGTCCCCGCCATGAGCAAGTGGCGCCTCCTCCATCCCCGCCGTCCTCTCACAGTCGTGTCAGAGCAAACAGCAGCTAATGGCTATCAGCCCGGTGCCGCGCCAGGCACCGCAGCCCCAGAGCGGATGTGGCCGCTCCGGGGGCCCGTGTGTTCCCGGAACAGCGCCACGGCAGGGTGCAGAGTGCGGACCGCGGCACGGGGGCGGAGGGACGTGATAGGTCGCCGGTTCGACGCCGCTTTATGGTTCGTCTGATGATCCCACTGAGGGGTTCAGCGGCAGTGAGCCTCAGGAGCGGCACCGGCAATCGGTGGGGATCGACACCAGCCGGTCACACGACAGCAAGTTGATTGGTTCAATGGCTGACAGATTCAAAGAGCGAGCCAGACCCACATATCGGCTCACACCGCCGGAAGCACCTATGTTCGAGCGTCAAACAAATATCGCTATAAATAAGCTCATGACAAATAAATATATGTGTTCATGGACGTTTGTTTTCTGTGAGCGAACTAGTCCAGAGACCTTCAAATCAGATCCGATACCCGGGTATCACCGCATAGCTGGCAATGAGCAGTCTCATTCCGTTGCATAATCGTTTTCACACCACTACATGGACAAGAAATCGACCAACTCATAATTACCGAAGCGACAACGATATCAAGGAACTGCACTTTGTCAGCTAATACCTCCCCCCCCACACACACACACTAGACAACTGGACATGACGATCTCTGCGCACATTGGGTCATAAGCGCAGCCGCCGAGCGGCGCCGACCACTCAGTAAAGCTCGGTTTTCGATCTCGAAGGTCGCGCCGCAGCCGGCCCGCCTCCAGGCCCGCCGAGGGAGGGGAGGGGTTGGGAGCGGGGCCGGCACACACACACACTGACCTGACGTAGTGTCGGATGAAGAGGCCGATAGCGGCCAGGAACTGTCCGTCGATGACACCGGTCAGCGGCGGCGGCGGCAGCGGCCCGCCGGCCGAGCCCACACACAGCTGCGACGACATGGCCGACCACATGGGAGAGAGAGCGGCCGTCCGCCCGGCTCAGACTCACGGATGGAGGAGGGTCGGCGGCGACTGTGATACTCGGACACGACTTCGAGCCGCGACTAAACGGCGGAGAGACTAGCCTACAAAATACCGGCAGAGGGACCCCTGGCCAGTGAGTCAGTCACAGACAGAGGGGCCCGACCCGCCCCGGTACGAGCGGCAGGTGAGCGGTGTCGGTGGGATCACCCGATGACGCCACGCCGGCTCCGCCAATCGCCGGCCGCCCTGGCCGTATGACGTCGCGTACGGCGCCCAATGGCCGGATGGCAGCGGCGAAATAGCCGCCGGCGGTGCGGGACTTTCTCCGGCGACGGCCTGCAATGGCCGGCCGCGCGTCGGCACGTCCCACCGCGGCAGCGGCAGAGATTGTGGGCCGCGGGCGACATACAACGAGCACGAACCACCGACCGCTAGCCGGGTACCACGGACCACCAGCCGTAGGTACACTCGGGGGCAAATTAATGTTCCACCACTCCCTACCCATCGGGCGATCCCATGGCTCAGCACTGGCTGCTGCCAATGTTGCCTGCCCTCAGCACTGCTCAGCACTGCCTGCCAGTGCCAGTGCTGCCACTGACAGCAGCCAGTTCTGAGCCATGGGAGTCCGATGGGTAGGGAGTGGTGGAACATCAATCTGCCCCCGAGTGTACCTATATCAAGAACCGTGGATAACCGACCACCGACCACGATCAAAAGCCGCATGGCATCGACCCTTGATCGGGTACCATGGATCACGGATCATACTTTATAAAACATACACCCCGGGTCACAGGGCCTTGGCCATGGATTACGGCCACTAAACCACGGAAAGTGGAGGATGCACCTGGCAGCAGCTGCCATCAGCGCAGCTAGCTCGGGAGCACTCGGCACAGCCAGCAGTTCCGGGCCCTGTTTCACCGGTGATAGCAGCACGCTGCTATTACACGTGTCAAATTGGGTTTCCATGGATAAATCAACAAACCATGACGCCGTCAATCTATGTGATGTCATCAAATATTGCTGCTAACATCTTCACGGCCGTGCGATCAAACAAATGCTATCAAACGCATTCAACGAGACAGCAACCCTGTTCCAAACGCAGCTCACGGATTACACGAAACGTCATTAGTGTGACCTCATCACATTACGTCAGCTCGCGCAATTTGATAGTAGCGTGCTGCTATCACCGGTGAAACAGGGCCCAGGACTCCACGGCATCAGCCCAGCGTTCCCTGGTATCAGCCGCGCACCCGCTGCCGCTGACCCGTGGCAGAACCGTAACGGGTGGACGGGCCGGCCGACCATAGAGTAACCGCAGATCGGCCGAGCGACGGCCGGCAGCCGGGAACGTAATGGGAGACCAATCGACCGTGAAACTGGACCCCGTGGCCGGCTCACTCCCCAGTCCATTTACAGACCTGGGGAGTGAGCAGCGGAAGGGCACGCGAAGGGAAACGATGAGCGGACCACGGGCCTGAGTGATGTACAATTATTGATTACCTGGCCAATGATTTACATCTCTGTGAGGCTTTGTAAAAACGGGTGCCCGTCAAAACTGCAAGCTTATGAACAGTGAACACTTTGAACACGCACAGCGCAGAGAGCGATACACTGCAAATAAAACCGCTGTCACGTCTGCAAGAGAGTCACGCACTGTTATGAGTAACAGCAGACCTGATAAGCCGATTATCTAATACATCAAAGGTCAGATATTCAAAGTATACGTCCACACAAGATACGAAACCAAACCACATGCCACCTACGAAGGAGCGCCTACAATTACATGATTCTGCAATCAGCTAAGCGTGCCACAACACGACACAAAACACCACACACTGAAAACTCCGGTCAGCAAACGTGCGAGGAGGTCAGGGAAAATAGGCGATGCCGCCCAGAATCGGCAGTACCTGACCGCAGAACTGCGAGACTGCGGCGGGACGACCGGAAGGGTCAGGTTACCACACACGGACGGTCAATGCCGAGCACGCAGCACACACGCGGGCTGTTAGACTGCCCGGGGACGGGTCAGGTCAGAACCAACCAGCCGGACAGCGGCGGAGACCCCGGCCCGTGTTAGTACAACTGCCGACCGGACCAGACGACACGCAGAAGTCCGCAGTCGTTAGAGGGTTCAGCACACCGCCTGCCCTGGTTCTAGGCCGCAGGTTGGACCGCGCTGGTGGCCACTGTGTACCGGACCGGGTTAGTGAGTCGGAGGCCGGGCGGCCGCCCCGGACCGGGTTAGTGCCGCTGCGCTGTGGAGGGGACAGAGCAGAGCGGGCCACACGCCGTACCTGACCGGCTCGGGCGTCAGCACGCCGCCGTCCGCCGGCGGCGAGGAGCCCAGCACGGCGAAATGGCCCGAGGACAGGGCGCGCGCCAGGCCCGAGAAGCTGCTGTGGACGACAGGCGCCGGCCGGCGAGGTCCGGCAGGACGGAGCGCAGTCAGAGAACAGCGGGTTCGTGCTGTGCGAGTTACACAGACCCACACAGAGACACAGGCCCGGCGACACAGAGCGCAGTCAGTGGACAGCGGGTACACAGACCCACACAGAGACACAGGCCCGGCGACACAGAGCGCAGAGAACAGCGAGTTACACAGACCCACACAGAGACACAGGCCCCATCAAACCCACCCATCAAGCAAGGATCAACCAACCCATCAAACAAGAATAAGTTTCGGAAATACACAATTCCAATTCGTTTGACTTCCCTTCAGCTAGCAGTCTCCATCTCAGCACAGGATAGGAACTTATTCCCCAGTCTCACAACTGCACACAGCCATGGTTTACAGCGCCCTCAGGACTACAAACGCAGCTGAGCACCGCGACATCCTAAGTACCACACCGTTAAAACGCCCCATCACAAGCCACGGGACCGTCACCGGACGAGCTCAACACTCACCACCGGCGACCACCGTGACCCGGCCGGCGGGCTCAGCACTCACCTGAAACAGCAGAGATATAGAGGTCAGACATATGACAACAGTACGGCATATGCATATACAACAGTCAGAGCATGGAACGTCTTATGGACAATCGGTGAGCGTAGGGACTTTGAACCGGAGCCGTGAGGGAAGAGCTACGATTCGCGGCAAAAGAAAACCTGAGCTAAATATAACGGAGTACCCGTGTATGGAAACATTGCGTGTCAATCATTGAGTGCATGCGCCTTTGTTCAGACATGAAACACGCCGCTTTCAACTGTACCATGGATGGACGTGGAACTTTCCGGCACGAGATGACGCTGTTGAGAATACCTAATAGCAGGTAACATCTCAGATACACTATGCTACCAGTATATATAATTGCTAGGTCTGATACATTCATCAACGGTAAATGACCATTCCTCAATCAGCAGTTGCCTCCGAAAATCATCGATATATCACTGGGCAGGTTAAACATAGGAGTGGCCTGAAGGCAACGGGCATTGTCCTGGAGGCAAGATGATGAATCAGAGGTTATCCCGTCGACCACGGATGGCGCTGCAGTCTGCGGCAGAGCAGAAGGCATTGGCCGCACCAGACTCATGGCATCCGATACAGATTACAGGAGCGTCTGTTCAATGAATCACCAGCTGACACGCTCGAACAGACAGCGCTGATCGGCGAGGTTGGCATCGCTCGAATAGTCCGGAGGAAGAAATAGGATCATAGCGTGAGTCAGGCCCCAGACCAATGTCTTCCATGGATCCTGGAGGTCAGGCTGCTACGGCGATGAAAACAGAAACACCGCCAGTAAACCTTGAGCTCATTAACTGAGACGTGAAATAAAGAACTATGTGCCAGGGAGGAAGATAATTTCCGGAAATATTCGGTAGTCCACAGACGCTGAAATTAATGTCAAGGACAAAACACCAGTTACGGCACATCAAAAAGGCTGCACTGACTGCACGGTATAAATAATTTCACCACGACAGTCTGACATCTGTCACAGCAACCTTACGCGAGCGACAAATGGCCCTAAGCCTGCCCGGAATAACGGTCCAAGCTGTCACCACCCCAACGGGGCGCAGCCTTCACGACCTGCCAACTTCCGTGGCGTTCATAATTCACGGCGATTCGTGACTAACAAACCGGCCGTGAGTCACGAAACTCACTAACAGAGCTACTCCACTGCGAGCGTGGTGACGTCCGATGATAACAGGAGAAAATCTGACGGAAAAGGCTGTGCGGGCCCAAGGTCTGCGGGAACGGCAATGGAAGCAGATGACGGCTATTTGGCGGCCTTTTTGCGTCTTACGACATACCGCTATCGCAACTATGGTCCTCTCGCGACGCCAACATGATGCATCGGACAAAAAAGAAGAAGAGAGGTTTGGAATGGCCTCGGGACAATTACCGTACACCGGAACTCCAGCATGACGCCAGTCAATTACCCCAGCGGCTTCGCTGTTCATTCATTTCCGTGTACAACTGCGGATGACGAGACATTCATAACGGTGCCAGCATCCGAGCAGATAAGTTTATGACGCTATGCTGTCAGACGGCTCACAAGTACCCTGCACCAAGGGAATAGTGCCCAGATACGACAGGAGATATAGAGCATGCAGCGATCGCGTGATGTGTTCATATTTGCCCACGGAACAGGGCGCTGTAAAGCCAGGAACTTATCTGCGGTGTGATCTCCAATAGTCCCGGGTCAATAGTGTTGAACGGTGGAACGCTGGGGTTCTTTTGGAGACTGGGAAGGCAAGGAGAGCTGACAAGGAAATCGACGAAAATTTCTGTCCTGGAACCAAACATCGTCTTAATCGGAAGGCTCCCTCTCATATTGTATGCAACCCAAATGGATTGGCGATGGCTTTGCCAAGTGAACTAACATAATTGTGGGAGAAGAGGGATATATACGAATCTTTTAGAACCAGCGAGCGTTTTAAAAACTCGATGGTTGTAAGTCCAGAAAATGCCTCATTTGATAGGTATTGACAAGGAACAATGATTCAGGACATTTTCATGCGGAGTGCGCGCTGCGGACAGTGTCTGTCCCCCCCCCCCCCCCGCGGCGGTGTGCGGCCTCACCTGTCTGCGGCTCCCTCCTGCTCGTCGGTGACGCTCGACTGCACCAGCTCCAGCAGGCTGGCGTTGGGCAGCAGGTCGGGCAGCGTCAGGCCGCCGCCGGTCGGCGAGCGCGGCTCCCCGTCGGCCGGCCGGAACACGGGCACCCCGTCAGCGGCCAGGCGCGCCTCCTCGGGCGTGGCCGGCTGGCTGGTCTGCCGCGCCAGGCCGGCCGCCGGCGCCGCCACCGCCACGCCCAGCGTCATCGGCGCGCCCCGCTCGGCGGCCATGGCGTGCACGTTGGGCGCCGATGCGGCGGCGGCCGCGTCCCGGCCGTGCACCAGGCCGGCCGGCGGCGCCGGCTGCGGCACGCTGAGGGAGGGCTGCGCGGCGCCGGCGCCGCCGCCCGCCGCCGACGCCGGGTCCGGCGTGGCGGCGTCTATCCGCGGCTCTCTCCGCAGGCCGGGCTCGTCGGCAAGACCAGGCAGCGAGGCCTCCTCGGAGGCGGCCGGCTGCGGCGGCGGCTCGAGCTCGCCGGCGCCGGTCAGGTGGACCGAGCTGTGCGCCGAGCTGCCGGCCGAGGCCGTCCCGTCGGCGCCAGCCGCCTCCGGCTGGTCCATGTAGTCCATGCACTGCCAGCGGCCGCGCTTGAACGGCACGTTGGTCTCGATTTTTACCACCTTGAAGCGGCTCTGCCAGGTCTCCTGCAGGTCGTCGCCCGGACTGCCGGGCGCCACGCCCACCGTCAGACCGGTCGGCATCAGGTCCATCTCGATCTCCGAGGGAAACTCGACGATCTCGGCGGTGCCGTGCGCGTCCACCGACTCGAGCGCACCGGGCACCAGCGTGATGCCGAACCCGTCGATGGTGGGGATGACGGGCAGCACCTCTGCGCTGGTGACGCCCGGCGAGGCCGTCAGCTCGCGCGGCGTGAGGCCGGCTGACGGCGGCGGCGTGCCGGCCAGCGGCAGCTGCAGCCGGCCCGGCAGGCCGTCCACGGCGCTGGCGCCGGTCGAGGTGGCCGACAGCCGCGCCGACTCGGCCATGTCAGAGACGTCCTCGTCGCCCGACTCGTCGATCGGGTCCGCGTCCGGCTCGGCGCTGCTCTGCGTGATCGACGTGATCTGAAAGCCCATGCTGTTGCGGTTGCCGATGTCGCCGTCCTCGGTCGGGTCGCCGCCGTTGACCGGCGCGCTGACGCCGTGCTGCGGGGAGCCGCTGGCGCCGTACACGCCCACCTGAGCGGCGGCGGCGGCGGCGGCGGCGGCGGCGGCCAGCCGCGCCTGGTCGGGGTCCGGGGGCGCCGAGTGGTGACCGGCCGCGGCGTAGCGCGCCCACTCGTCGGCGGCCGGCTCCGGCGCGCGCCGCGACACCGGCTCCGGGCCCACCGACAGCTGAGAGGCCGCCATCGGCACCGGCGACGGCGCGCCGCTCAGCTCGGCCGCCGACTGCGACACCGGGCCAGAGCCCGCAATGGAGGCGGGCGCCGGCTGCGCCGCGGGAGCCGAGTGCGGCGCCGCGGGGTGCGCCGAGTCAGAGGCCGGCTGCGCCGCCGGGGCCGAGGAGGCAGCGGGCCCGCCGGCCGGGTGGGTGTTTCGCACAGGCTCCGGCATGACGCCAGGTACCGGGCGGGTCGGCGGCAGCGAACTCCTACACCTGGAAATGTAACAAGGCGTGGTCAGTGAAATGGCCAACAACACAACAAAACACTGCGAAATAATGCTGCAAATAGTCATGGATGCATGGTGCCATTCAGTAAATCTCACTGCTCAAATAAGAAGTGACCTAAAACAAACTGAAAAAGCATCAGCAGCTTGGCTATACCATGAAGCTTCATTCTGCAGAAACTTAATTGCAGAAATATGCCTTCATATGAATCAGAAGTTGATGATCATTATAAGATGGGGTGTTTGCTGCCCAGACTGAAAAGACCTCTATGGTGAAAAGGGATAAAAGAGCAATAATTGATGAATTGATGTTACTAACAAATGTACAGATAAAAATGTGATTCTTGCTAGTCATCTCAATTAGACATGCTCATTCAAAATTAAATGCAAAATGCATATCTCCCTCAACCATCAGTGTTGTAGACATTTTTAAACAAACACAATAAGACTTTCATTCAAGCAGGAACAAAACTCTTACTGAGAGTGGAAATATCTTCAGCCTTAGATGTGAAATGTAGGTAGTTGTGGCAAATTTAATAAACAAATGTTACATGCAATGCCTCCTGTTTTCTACTTAACTGTTAAAATAAAACAATTTGAAACTGAGTCCAAAATGATGACCTTCTGGTACCATTTTCGTTAACTTGTATAAAACTTCAAAAGAAAGAGTTAAGGTATACTATCTTTAATATAGGACATTGTAACTGCAATGGTAAAGCATATCTTACGAGTTTAGGGCTTCCTAGTCTCTCCTAATTTAATGAGTGACATGCAGATGTTTAAGAAATACATGCATTACCCATTATCAATGCCAAAGCATGCACAAACCATCAAGGCTCAAGTATTCGGAAGCATCCACCTACCCACCTTAATTCAAACTGGCTGAGCTCGATAGACATTTCAAGCCCCGACATGACTTAATTGTGACTGAAAATTTACTGATTGAAAATGGATGACGATTCCATCTCCTGAATTACTACAGGACCTATCACAAGAGATTTTGTAGTTACTGCGCCAAATTCGCCCAAAGGAAACACATCAATAAGACACCCTCACAACAAACACCCACGCAAGAACATGTTTAAAATTTCACAGAGCTATGAAAAAGCTCTATATGCTTCGTAGAATACCTACCTTCTGGTGCCGTTTCCAGCAGGGACTGAACAATAATGGCGACCCCTCCCAACCTTCCCCGATCGTTGACGAGCACCGACGCACAAGCTTTTCAGCACTTCTCCCAGTGACCTTTGGGAAGACTGATCTATGAATTATTTACAGTTTTGGGTACAAGACTCCCATATCCATCAAAAACTCAGGTTTGATCGATCAACCAACGCGAAAAATAAGAAATATCGCGTTTTGAAAAATTGCCTACCCATCGCCCATCGCACCCAAAAATTTACCTAAGAGCGTAAATATTTTCAAGCCTTCGATTTTATCATGTTAGTTTTTTGACGTCATCAAAAAAAGTAATTTCTTTTCCTTTTTGCTTCTTTATTTGAATTACACCCATAAGAAAGCATTTGTTTATTTTTCAGTTTTCGGATTGATATCACTGTAATTTTTTTAAATGATCTTACTACTGTATGCTTTTAAAAAACGATCAGAATTGAAATGTTTTTCAAATACTAAGGACGTCATATAAATTTTGTTCCATAATATTTTACTTGCTTCAGCGCTGTGCGTCACGTTTGCATACATTTGAAATTTTAGACGGCGCGCTGGGGGTAGGTCAAGGTAGGTGTGCTGGCTGATTTTCTCAATTTACTATGAATTATTGTTGGTTTTTTGTATGTATTAGGTATTTTAAGACAATCGTTTATTTATCTTCGTTGAGTTATATCACCGCTTGTTAATGATTCCGCAACAAAAAATGGGTAAAATTATCTTTTGACTGTACCTATCAACTTGGAATGTCTAACATTCATTCACATTATTGCTTTATTGTTTTAAATGTAAACATGTGTTCAATGTAGTTGGATAATGTTTTATTTTTACAGGAATTTTACTTCCAGTTAAACTTGCCTTTCAATTTTTAATGTCATGAGTGGGGCAAATAAGATGCCGAAGGATGCGGCTGTGATGGCTGCCATCCTGAAGGAAGCTGGCGTTACATCCTACGATCAACGGGTGATTAACCAGATGCTGGAATTTACATACAGTGAGTAATATAAATCATGGAAATGTGGCTAATGACAAAGTGTCACTTGGATTGGAGCGTTCAGTGTGGTCATTTGGATTAAAGAAATAGAATGCAGGTATGTCAGTTTTATTACAAAATCCACATCTTGTGGTCTATCTTTCAAGCCCGTAACTCATATACACTATCATGTAATGAATTTGATTTGTTTTTGTGTGAATCATCATGCCAATATGCCTTTCTTTCCTCAGAATATGTTACTAATATTCTGGAAGATGCCCGTGTGTACTGCGCTCATGCCAAAAAGAAGAACATTGACCTGGATGACGTGAAGCTGGCAGTGCAGATGCAGCTGGATCAGAACTACACTACACCGCCACCGCGTGATGTATGTCAAGCGATTGGGGGAACAAGTTCAGTGTGTGGTTCATGGGGTGGTTCATGGTCTGAAATGAGCTGCTTATTTAAGCAATAAGCATTTATAAAATTACATAAGGCCTCATCGAGCTGTATTTTAGCACAGGTTTGTGTTATTCTACAAGTATTCAAAATAAGATTGGTGCGCGCCCCGCACACCAGGCAGGAAGTACCCCGGCCGCTGACGCCGAGATGCGCCGTGTTTCAGCTGCTGGCCGACATCGCCCGCACCAGGAACAGCACGCCGCTGCCGCTCATCAAGCCGCAGTGCGGCCTCCGGCTGCCGCCCGACCGCTACTGCCTGCTGGCCACCAACTACAAGCTGAAACCCTCGCACCCGGTCAAAAAGGTAGGTGCCCGCGGCAACCAGCAACTGCAGTTACTGCGCTTGCGTATGCACGCATGTGTTTATGTTACGTTTGTTAAACTGCCTGTGGAAGCTCCTAATCTAGATATTTATCATTCGACATTCCACTTCTCAGTTTTCACATGTGATTTTGACGACGTTCAACAGCGAAGTTCAGCATTTCCCCGATACGTAACTAACTGGCAAAATCTATTATGCTGTGGTTAACCTGTTCCAACGTTTCGTATTGTCTGGGGATCCAGCGACGTCTCGCTGTCCGTTCGGACCACCTGTACCGGCCCGTTCTCCACTCCGACTCCCGGTATCCATTCGCCCCTAGTATCAACTGGAGCCAGCTCTCACGGTCTGTGCCTCCCGAGTCCCGTGTCTCCCGTGTCTCATCCCGTTGTCTCCCCAGCCGTTGGGCCGGCCGGCCGGCGGCTCCGGCTCCCGGGTGACGGTGGGCGCCGCCAAGGGCACCAAGGTGGCCGTGGTGCCCGGCAAGGGCTCCGGCTCCGGCACCGGCTCGCCCATGCCCAAGTTCAAGGTGCAGACCGCGTCCCAGTCCTCTGGTAAGTGGGGAGGGGAGATGACGGTCCGGTGACGGGGAGGGAGAGGGAGAGGTGATTGGACACGGCGGGGCGGATGAAACGCTGTGTTTTCGGAATCGCCGAAATACGAATTGCACCTTACCATGTTTCTAGGCGGATTTTTACTTTTATCGTCGTAAAAAGGGTATTTTGCAGTCCTTGAACTATTTTTGGACCTGAATGTCAGTTAAACCGTATTTTTGTTGTACCTATGCACAGTGTGCAGTTCAAGTATATAGTGCTCGCTAGCATACATTTTTTTTCGTACCCAATTGACGTCGTGTGCATGTGCGTTGTGTGTCGTCTCGCTAGCTTCCGCGCTGCTGCCGTGTTCGCTGTTTTAGAATGCACATCTGTGTATTTCGAGTGTTCCCTCAGGCGGACGTTCTCCATTACCTCACTCCCCCGTCTTCCACAGCGGGCTCTCCGGCGGCGGTGATGCCGCGGATCCAGTTCTCGACACCCACCCCGGACCCCACGCTGGCCGGTCTGAAACGGAAGCGCGAGGACGAGTGACCCGGCCGGGTCACCGTCAGGTCAGCGCCCTGCCCACCCTGCGGGCGACCTCTGGCCTCTCTGAGCTGCTGCTCCGCCGCGCCGCCCCGCTCTCAGTGCCGGTTGACTCCGTAGGGTGTCTGCTGTACGCCGTACGTTCACCGTGTCTGTGTGTGCTGCGTCTGTGGTACATCCGTTCACCGTGTCTGTGTGTGCTGAGGTGGGGTGCGTCTGTGGTACATCCGTTCACCGACTGTATGTGGGTGGTCCAGGGAGGGTAAGAGAAGGTGAACCCCTCTGTGTGTTTGTCGACCGGTGACGTCCACTGCCGAACGAGGACCGGGTGTAAAGGTGAGAATGGTTCGGTGTAATTCAGAGGGCGCCGCGGGCGGTGGTTGTGTGGTTGTGTGAGCAGTGCTGAGACTGCCCCTTAGCCTCAGAGACTGGTGTCAAGTGTGCTTTGTGTTCCATTATACCCCACCGTGTTTGATGCAGAGAGAGGTACAATAATTGTGCCGGGTGTGTTTGGGAAGGGTAGCGAATAGCGATGCTGAGGAGGCTTTACAGTGCCCAGCGGGGGGGGGGGGGGGGTCCAGCTATATCTATAAACAAGGAGTATCGGTTGCAGAGTTCATCGCCATCATCGTTCATACACCATTCGAGGACATATTGTGAATATTACTGATTAGTTACAAATGTGTGCTTTCTCATTCACTATCGTAGGAATAAACTCGTTTTATATGCCTGTCTTTGCTTACCTGCTTCGCCTTTCCAGCTTTGTAGTTGAAGCCTCTGTAGTGCCAGATTGTAGTGTATCGTAGCTGCTGTAGTTTGACTTACTCACATACTACGATTAAATTTATGTGAAGGACTGCTCCGGAAAACAATACAATCCTAGCGATGTTATACAAAAAGAAGAGTGAATTTCTCTGGTAACGCGACATCCCCTATTCCAATATCGCATGGTTTCTCGCATTTATTGCCATGTCTTCAGCTGATCCTGATGGCGACATTGTCAGACATCGTGGTTTCATACGAGCGAAACAGTCGGCGGCATTGGTCCAACAGCATTGGGTCATGCATCGTTAGACACTGAACGTTACGCTACACCACACGATATTCCGACCCACGCCTTCAAGTTACCACGCTGCTAAGAAGGGCTGCTAACGCGACTAACAATAGCTGTCAAACGGTAACACTTGCTGACGCATCGTTTTACGACACAATATCGTTTACATATCGACCATCTCCATATGTTTAACATTTCACCAATAACTAATAACATTTGATTGAAACAATGTCAAAGCGATTAGTTTTCATCCTATAAGTTCATTTAGCGCATTTTTTACATTTTATCCGTCGGCCTCACGATAAAATTAACAGCAAACACATATCAAACCTGTCTCGCCGCTCCAGTGCGATGAATATCATCGTAACGGGCTCACTGCCGGCGCAATGAGGGCGGTCACGGAGCGCTAAACAGTTCAGCGGCGTACCGTTCATCTAAACACATTCACACAGCGGCACGTATCCGCGGTGGGACGTGAAAACGCTCACAGACCGCTGTCGCAGAATCGCCCGGTCACGTTATATCGCACAACCATGCGAGTTGTGGGACGACCGGCTGGGTATGACTGCCAACACCATGCGTGTTGAACAATGTTGGTCTATCTCGGGAGAAAGACGGTTGTTCTATTACGAGCCACGGTCTTCTTGATGTAACGCGGTTGTTATGGCACGCCTCTGCTGGCTCGGAGTTCATGTAGCAGCGTAACACTCATATATGCTGCAGTTCGACGAGTCTGTAATTGCACCTAACGACGTCCATAAATTTAGCTCCTACTTTGTAACACAGCGACTCCCCGGTTATTGCGGCTGCCTTTTATCAGCAAGGTCCTCCCTCGGCGATCCTTTTTTGCACAGACCCACTCGGGTAGGGATGCCAATCGCCATCTCCCATGAGTCACTGGACTCTCCGGCCTCGCTCTCAGTCCCACCGGTCTCAGTGCCGACGTCCCAGCACCCCGGTAGGAAGCCCCCAGCCCTCGGACCGTCCTGCCCGTCACTGGCAGGTGGTGCCGTCGGCGACACAGCTGCCCTCTGCCGGCGTGACGAACAGCTTGCCGCTGGTGCAGGCGCACACCTGGTACGCCTTGGTGTCCACCGGGTTCAGGTTCAGCTGAGAGGTCGTGGAGGCGATCGGCAGGCTGGGCAGCATCACCCGCGGCGAGTCGATCCGAATCTGACAGACGTTGGAGGGGGAGTTAGACTGTGACTGTGAGGTAGGGGGTGTCGAAACGGGACTGGCATGGACCGCACCAGTGCAGTGCGGGGCAAGAGAGGTTAGATGGCAGTGCATTATGACTACCATTGGCTTCAATTGCGACACTATTTTAGGTTTGGGATGGTGAGGCTGTGACGAGCGTTAACATCCAAAGTCGCATCCTCTCGTTCCTGGCCGGCACTCTCCAGACCTCGCCTTTCATGAGGCACCCACCAGTCCTCCCCGAGCCTGAACCTGCCGGCAACCACTCACCGAGCCGCCTGTGGACTGTAGTTTGAGGTCGGTCAGACAGGCGGCGCTGATGTCGCCCGCTCTGGACTCGATGGCCACTCCCAGGGGCGCGGAGATCTGCAGGGACCGTGTGGCCGACTCCAGTCTGAGGGCACGGCAGGGGCGAGGTCAACACTCAGTGACCTCCGCCGCAGCGCCGTTCTTTTTTCTTTCGGGCTGTTATCCTACATTGCCTTGGTGTTTGAATTACACCTTCATGTCTTCATGCATGTTGGAAGTTTCAATGCAGCCCTGCGCCCCCATCGGCCGGTGGGCATATGCCGTTCCGAACACCCAGCTGTTAGACACGGCTGGATTCCATATCCTCTGTCGGTGTATCATGTTTACGCCGGCCCATCCTTGTTTACGCGTGTTATCCGGCGCCCTCCCCACCATCTGAGTAGTTCTCAAACGGAGCGAGCGACAGAGACAGAGATACGGCTGCCCTGGGCGCCGCCTAATTGTCGCGCAGCTGAGACTGGCCAGTAAATTAGAGAACTATTTGTGTGCTCTGTCAACAGGGAGGGTTCGGTGGAGGGCCGTGGGACGCGCCCTTCTGTTTGGACCGGGTGCCGGGTCTGTCACGGCGCGGTGGTGTTGGTTCCTACCGCGGGCCGATGGCCGTGTGAGGGCAGCCAACTGGTTCCGGCGGCGCTTCGTATGTGGTGCCAGTCAATGCTCAATTGGAGCCTCACTGTGGTTTGTCGGACACGAGCAGGACATTTAGTTGGGGGGGGGGGGGGGGGGATTGAACCGCACTACAGGTCATGCGAAAATACATTGAGGGACATGATATAATATTGGGGAAACGTGTGAGCCGGAACTGGACGGCGTTGTTCCGCTGCAGTTTCACTCACTTGAGCTCATCTCCGGCCTCTGCCAGCACGAGCGGCGTCGCCACCGAACCGTCAAACACGGCGCCTCCGTTCCCTGTGATATGAGAGCGGGTCAGTCCCGGCGCGAGACACTGGTCACAGTCGGAGACGGCGCCTCCGTTCCCTGTGACATGACAACGGGTCAGTACTGGCTGCAGTGCGAGACACTGGTCACAGTCAAACACGGCGCCTCCGTTCCCTGTGACATGAGAGCGGGTCAGTTCCGGCTCCAATGCCAGATATCGGCCACTCTCCAACCAAAGGCACCGCTTGATAAACCAGACGCGCTGCTGCGTTACCCGTCTAACACGGTATGTGACAAATTAGGTACGGCTATTGTCAGCAATGGTCGGTATCTAACATATCCGGGATCATGCATATAATATACCCAGAAAGGTTTGAAGTTATTCTGCCCACGAGGACTGAACTTTGCTCGTGGTGTCGGCTGTTGAGGTCTCCGTGAGCTGACCTGTGACCTGGAGAGTGTTGGCGCCCACGGTGACCTGGTGCGGGGAGGCCTCGAATAGGGTGACGCCCGTCTTGTCCGTCACCCGGAACGAGTTGGACATGACGTGCAGCCCGTGCGACCCTGGGGGAGAAGGGGAGCGGACCACGACGCTGACGGGCGGCCGATGCGGGCAATACCAGCGCCCTCAGCTTGTCATGCTGCTCTAGGGCACGCTGAATGAATTCGGGACATTGGGACAGAATGATGAAAGCTTCTGAAGTGTTAAGTGAATTCCATAATTTGCGAAAATATGTGTCTGATCTGTCCTCTCGGCCTTGTGCGACAGACCCTTCAGAATGCTACTTATTTTAATTTGTCACGTCTAGAAAGCGAGAAACGTGGCTGAATGGTATGATTCTCTGCAAAAGGAATTACCTATTTCCGTTTGAAGATCAAGTCAAGTTTCTCACTTCTCAGGAACAATGCATTAATTAGGTAATGTTGCGCATAGACCTCACAACGCCACCTAGAACATCTAGGCTATCACATTTCATATGCACTTTAGTATCAGCATTACAAGTACGCCTACTGTGCGACAAATGTACGGATAATTAATAACAGCAATCCCTTATGACTGCTAAGCGAAGCGCACCACTAGTGGACTAGGCCTGAGCGGACGGAATGCGGGCTGCGGGACTCACCGAGTGCGGGCTGCGGGACTCACCGAGTGCCGGCTGCGGGACTCACCGAGTGTCAGCTGGGACTCGAGCTCCCCAACGGCGTTCCGCACGTTGATTGAGAAGTTTTTCGAGGACTGGAAGCTGATGGGCTGGTGGCGGCTGGAGCGGATGTGGCTGGCCACCAGCTGGTTGAGCACCCACGAGTCGCCCTCGAGCACGATGCCGCCCTTCACCACCCGCAGGTCGCCGATACCGTCCTGGCGAATAGAGCAGGAACATCGCTGGCGGCTACACAAAGATACCTATATTCTTTTACATATAATCATGCTCGTCTTGTCTTTATTTTCAGCGTAAGCCGCAGTGCTCCCCAGAACGGTTACCAGCTATCCCTCCCCGCCTGCCCCGTCAATGGCGGGGCGTACCCAACCGGAATCGACGTGTGCATAAAGAAGCGTCCCGGCATTAGGGCCGCAATTTGATCTGCCTGACGGCCTGAATAAGGGATGCCGGCTACGGCGAGAGACGGCTGGGAAGAGAGAAGGGGAACGGCCGGGAATGGCAACGTCGGTCTGTGTCTGGATTTGTTGCCAAGTTTGTAAATACCATTCGATGATGAAGCATGGGCTATCCATTGGTATTATAACCCGTTCACTTGAGATTTATGACCTAGTATAGAAACATCATGACATTGTCATTTTTATCTGGCATCCAGTGTCATCTTTCCGGTGATCTTTACTCGCCTGTTCGCTTTTCGTCCCGACATTGGATTTCGTTGCCCAGTTCGATCGGGCCGAGCGTCGGCCGGCCACTTTACGGCTCCATTCGTTCTGTTCCGTTTGTGTGCGGCGACTTACAGCCGGCCGACATCCAGTCAGCGCCGCCCCACCGTCCGCCGAGGTATAGGGGATCGGCCGGCCAAATCGGCGCTCATCGGTCGCCAATCTGCCGCCGAGTCGACGCGCCATAAACCAGCCGCCGAGGCGGGAGGGTAGGGGTGTGGTGCTGGTGCAGCCGTAGGGCACCAATTGGAGCACCACCGAACTCCGATCAGAGCACAGCCGAACTCCGCCCCGATCGGCCGGCCATCGGGTGGCGATGGCCCCACTGGGCACTGGTAAACAGGGAAACGAGAGTCCGATCAGCCGGCCGCTGTTCAGCAATCCGCGCCGAGCGGACGGGCGCTCATTGTAGTCTGGGCTCTCGATGTTCTAAACTACATAGAAGCTCGCTTATTTACCAGAAAGGCTGGAAGAATCGATGTCACGGAGCGGCGGAGGAGAGACTTTCAATTCGTGTCGGGCGGTACAGCCTACGTTTCAGGCGTCTGCCTGTGCTGCCATCTATGGGCGGCGGCGGAAGTAGATGTACTGCGGTACAGTATACCAGTTAAGGCTACGTTGATGCTGCCATCTAGCGTCAAGGACGGTAAACACTGCATTATTACCATTTGCGAGCGCTTTTTCAGCTTCGTTTTGTAACGTACTTTTTAGCGGTGGGACAATGCATCGGAGCTTAAAGCTTAGTTAATTAATAAAACACTTTGTAAAACGGAAAGGCCCACATTTCCCACCAAACACCCGCGGCCGCGACCGACATTCTCTCCCGCCGACACCCACGGCTGCCCACAGATCCTCTTGTGTAACTCACCACAGAGAAGTCGAGCACCTTCATGATCCACAGCGTGAGCGCCAGGTTAATGATGACCATCAGCAGCAGCACCAGCAGCAGGCCGTACAGACACCGCTTCCGCCAGCCGAAGATGCCGATCTTGTAGCTGCGGATGTAGAGGTAGGGGTCCGCCTGGCCCTGACCTTCGCCCATGGTGGCAGCTGGCGGGTCCGCTCAGTGGCTGTGGAGCAGAATTGGGTGGGAGTTAGGTCGGGTCAGGTAATTCAGGCAAAAAGACCAGCTATTCTGCTGTCAGTGACGGGACATGGTTTTGCGCGCCTAAACATCACGCACCGTTTCTGTCAGCGGCCTCGCTATCCGTCGCACAATCGAACGGTGCAGTGTGTCCTATTCAGAGACCAAAGGGCGCCAGTGGCCGAGCGGCTAGTCACATCTCTGCAGCGTCCATCACGGCCCGGGCTCAGGTCACACCTCCGGGCCGAGCGCCGGCCGCCGCGGGCCCTCCCCGCGGCTGAACCGGCTCCCGGAGGGAGGGGGCTGTTTTCCAGCTTGTTAGCCAGCGGCTGATGTCCATAATCAGGGTCCGGGCGGCGCCGGAGCCAGAGCCGGACGGAGGCGCGGATCAGAGCCGGACCATCCGGACTGGAGAAATCCGAGCCCGGCTCAGCACAGAGCCCTGCTTAGTGCTGCGCTGTGACGAGGGCGGCAGAGGGAGGGATGGAGGACTAAAACATGACCGAGTCGACTGGAGGATGGTCAGAGGACTGAGCTCCGGCCGTCCCAGCTGGGAGCGGGCACTCCCGTCCTCCGCGCAGTTTAACTGTTCGTCCAATCGGAGATGATGGAAGATTAAAAGGCTGTGACAGTGCGACATTTGATAGAGATTGATGGGCGCTTGGCAGATATAAAGTAAAAGCGTGGTGATGACTGAGACAAATTGGAAATCAATTGAGACGTTTTCATATGCATCGAGCCCAATTTATCCCGACACTTTGAGTCTCATTTGTCATAAATCTCATAAGATAGAAGACGTTTGGGGACTAAACTTCACAAATTGTCAAATTGAGAATGGTAGCAGACATCTTTTTATCATCAGGAAGTTAACACACCTATCTTGTGTAGAAAATCTCCCGATTTAACGATAGGTAGATCCAATCTCAGCCCACCCTACTCTCGCTCTCCTTGTTTTGTCCGGTGACATTTCTCCCATTTTCTGAGCATCCTCCGACCCGCTCGGCCCCTCGGGCGGTGTGTAATTTCCCCTCCCCTCCCCGCCGGGGCCATTTGCCCCGGCGGCCCGTAACGACCTAGGAAGGTGAGCGGTTGAATAACGCGCCGCCGCCGACCGGCTGACGCCCGCGCCGGCTGCCGCTGATGCTGTTTTGATGGTCACGTGACCTCAGGTAATGTATGCCGCGCCAGCCCATCTGCGGGCAGGGGTCGATCGCGGGTGGGGTGAGCGGCACCTTCTCAGGGGTTAAATGGCTCACCGGCGCATACGCGCTAAGGTTAGTGCCAGGAAGATATCTAGAGGAACGGCTGCTTGAGCGTTTCAGATATCTTCAAAGTAAAAAGGGCTCGACGGACCATCGCATGTAAATATCGCCGCGAGAGAGAATAACAAAAAACCATCACTCGTTCGTCTTAAGGTGTAACATGATGGATAAATTGCTATCGGGCTACGCACGTTCCCCGTTTTTCGCCACCGGTGGCTGCGTCTTCCACCGCCTTCCGGAAAACAATCAGTTCGCCAATCATTTGTTTGGTATCGACTTCCATGAAATTGCCTGCGGCTCCCTGGTGGCACCGGCACTATTAGTTTCCGACAATTGAATTTGGCCGGCATTTGGTCGCAAATAGCGACAGAAGGGAGGCGCCTGGCCGGCAGGAGTGCGTTATCTGCGCCGCTCGGAGCGCCGTAATGCACTTAGCCGGCGGTCGGCGCCGGTAACGCGGCCAGCGGTCGACCAACACGATTACCGCTGTTCAACTTTGTCCGGGCCGGCTTGTAACTCGTCCCACGCACTGTTGGCCGGGCCGGACGCCGGGGAACGGCTGTCAGAAGTCATGGGAGGCGGCGCGGCCGAGGCTGACTGGTGGAAGGGTCGTGAGCCGTGAGCATGGGTGGTATCTCACGACCCTTTTGTCACTTATCTGTTTTGGACTTTTATTGGTGTTAGGGGATACTGTCTGCAACGTTAAGTAGCGTTATTAGCACTTCTCCGTTATTTAAGATCAGTCGTCGGTGTGACCCTCCGGTTCCACGGAGCGCCGCGCTGCCCAGCGCCGGGTTCGTCGCACACGCGCGTCTCATTCGCCGCACTCCGTTATTCGCCGAGCGGTGCCGGCCACCGATGGCCAGATATGAAATGTAAATTAGATTCCGAGCCAGACAAATGACCGGCGACGTGCGCTATCTTCTTGAAGCAGTTCCCGGCGGCCGCTCGGGAGAAAACTGTAAATATTGAGCGGGAGCCGACCGGTCATGTCGCGTCGGCCGGAGGATATATGCAGCCATCAGGAGCGCGGCGGAGAGGTTCGGAGTCATGCACGTGACGCGGGCAGCAATGTCGCACGGGTCGGCGGCCCTGCCTCCCGATCGGTATGGCGTGGTAGGGCTATCCGTGTTGAGAGATGGACTGTTTGGCCGGACATCAGTCGACGGGACTGCGTCCTAACGGCTGAACCGTGCCGGGCTTACGTTCCGAGCTAACAGGGAGGGGTAAACAGGCCAGCCTATCTTCCTGCACTGATGAGTGTTGAGTTGTCGAATAAAGAAGTCGCGAATTGACATGCTGGGTCGCCTTTTCCACTGGGTGGCCTTTGGTCCGCAACGACGACATTTGAGCTGAAATTTAAGTGATGTGAACAATTTTACGGTACCGTATTTGCCGGCGCCGAGGCCGTTACCTCGCCGGCCTTCCGTCTCTGCCCTGTCGCTGCTCCTTGTGTCTGGAGCGGCGCCAACCCCAGCCGCGTCCGTCTCAGTGTTTGGCCGGTGGGCCCGGAACCCGCGCCCGATGTCCCGAGATCACTGCCCCGAGCGGCAGCGCCGTGGTGAAATGTTGACTCGCCGCCCGCCAGCCACCGCTCGTGAAGAGATCGGAGTCATAACAACGAGCGGGGCCTGCAGACTGATATTGCCCGCCCTCGCACCCTTACACCCTCGCGGGTCGGTCAGTTACACAAATCATCTGCTGCCGAGTCTCAGCACAATGTCGTGGTATTTCCTGGGCGCGTGTGTTATTCAGCGGCACCTGTCGTCTGCCGAACTTCCCGGCTCTCATTTGGTGTGGAACGAGTTGACGAACTCTACCCTTCCACCGCGGACCGCCGAGAGTGATCGCACTCCTCACACCCGCTCTGTGACGTCACAAAAGAGGCCATCACGGCTGCCCAGTCAGCGCGCCCGGGCCGTGTCGTCTCCATCAGCGGACAAGTTGTGGGCGGTGATTTTTGGGAGGCAATTTCCTGAGAGCGCCGCGCCTAATGTGATATCGGGCGCTGTTTAATCGGCCGAGCGGCGGCAACTCGCCGCCGGTTTAATGACGTCAATGATGGCTCTCGGTCGGAACATTAGCCCGTGTCGCGAGTGGTCGTGAGACGCTCCGCCGGAGCTGTCAGCGGACCTGTCGGCCGGCGACAGGACGGGCCGAGCCGAGGTGCGCCGCTCCGCCGGAGATGTCGGGAGGATCTGTCAGGTGTACCGGTCTGCTGGAGACGGAGCACACGGCGCGGGGAAGGAAGGCTGCAGTTGATATTGATCGTGATCTGAACGAGCGCTTCAATGATATCCGCACTCCGACAAGCCCACATACATGGGTGTGCTCATGCTGTGAGTTCCGCTCAGTTCTGCGTGCCAGCAAAATGACATTTATGTGTCTAGTTCTCTGGTAGAGGTTTGCGACATCTTAGGTTCCCTTCCACTTTCCAGGTATCTTTTTCTTTTTTAACAGAAGAAAACAAATAAATGATAATTTTAAGTCATTAGTTTTCATGAAACGAAAAGGACACGATGACGCCACTGTACCTCCGTCTCGGCATTCTAAAAAAGCCCAACCGAACACCTATTTTTGCATGGGAATAACTGTCAGAGGAGCTGTGCGCTCCTTGCTGTCAAGGGGCATGGCATTGACTGATGCAGTATGCATCGGTCTCGTCCCGAAGGTCTTGCGACGCTGGTCTGCAATTCGAGCGGCGACTCGTCAAAGGCCAACGCCCGGCGGAATTTAATTCGCTTCCACTGCATCATTCGGGGCGTCTTAACTTGTGCCGGCTTTGGTCTGCAGAACACAGTAGCATGTCGGGGATTGGAGTCATGACATAGTTTCCAGGGACTTTGAGAAGAGCAGCGCGTGATTGTGTCGAGATATACGACCGACTCGACCGGCCTGACGACTGACGAGCAGGATCACGCGAACCAGAGATGCATGGGATGACTCGTGTTTTCATTGTGCTAAAGATACTCTAGAAGTTTTCAGCTTTTCGTTTATATTGAGCGTAATTCTCATATTTGTTACGTCAAATGTATAGCTGATTCCCTCGTTTATTAGATGACTTGGAAAAAGCAATGCATTTGTTTGTATTCCCTTTCTTACTCTCAAGTGTTGAGTGCGAAATTGATAATCCGGTATTTTCAGGTATTTCGAAAGTGAAGCGGACAATCTTTTTACACCCACACAAGCACAACAGAGTGTCACTTGTCACATGTCCATTGAGCGACGCTGTGAACAGACCGCCTAGGTAACTGGCCAGGTAGGGACAGGCGTTTGGCGGACAATACGGCCAAAGTCCGTCGTTCTCCCTGCCAGCACCGTGTTCCTGCGGCCCGGAGATGTGAGTGGGCCGAGCAGCAGAGTTTTACACCCGGCACTGCGGCCTCTCAGACCGCTCGGACCGATCGGACCGATCTTGAACCGATGACGGCCGGCGCCGACCGATTGCTCCCGCGGGTGACCGTAAACCGGGCCCGGGTCGGCCGATTCGGCGGCGCCGACAGGCGGAGTGGAAGGTTAGGCGTCCCTCCCTCCCCTCCCCCTCCCTACCTCGGCCGGTCCTCTGAGGGGCACTGAGTTGGACCGCGCGGCGACACGCCGGGCTTGGTGCGCGCGGGGACACGCCGTGTGCCGGTGTTGTTTCAGGTATTGACAGCAGCGACCGGCCGTGCCCGAACAATGCCGGTCCCCGGGGGGACTGGGACCGACGCAACATCACAGGCAC